CGGAATCTGCAGCAGTCGGCTGCTGACTCATCACTTGCTCAGAAAGACTATGCGGGCGAGCGTGAATGCGTGAGTGAGCAGCCACGGTGGCGCCTCTGGTGAGCAAATAACGCATTTGTTTGCTTTGTTGGTAAATTTGAAATATTTCCTGCCCGATTTCCCTCGCGAAATAAAAGATTTATCGCTATACAGTGATATCTCCATTAGCCAGAACACTTTTTGCAGAGCACTTCTGGGAATGAGAGATTTCCGGGTAACGAGACGACTCTCTCAAAGCCAGAAAAATATCCCTCATCTCCGGAATTTTCCAATTAACAGAAAATTCTTCTCAGAAATTTCAGAAATTGCCCATTACATCATCTCTTAAACCCAGAAAAATATCCCCCATCCCTGGAATTTTCTGGAAAAATTTTCTTGGAATTTACATAAAATGCGCCTAATTTTCATCTCTCAAACCCAGAAAAACTCCCCCATCCCCAGAATTTTCCGGAAAATCGTTCCCAAAGCCGTAATTTTCTGGAAAATTATGATTCTGGGAACAGTTTTCCGAGAAAATTTCAACTCCAGCTATCAGAGAGTTCCGGGTTTGAGGGAATCCGGCAAACAGAGATTTTACTGTACAGGGTACATTGGAAAATACAGTACTTTCAATGTTTTCTTTCACCCACATTGAAATTTCAGTTGCCAGCACTAATTCCACTATTCAAAGGATGAACATCCTGGAACATCATTCTTTGTCAATTTAAAATTTTGTCTATTCATATTCAAACTTTGGAATAAGGATACAACTTACTCGTCATTAACCCCCATGACTCAGTCCCCATTGTGACATAATTACAGTACTGTATTTTGCGGTATTGTTTGAATCGCTACATTATGTTGCCAAGCAGGCTTTTATCTTTCAATCACTCACCGAAGGGTCAAGACGTACCTGGCGCTCCTCTAGGAGCAGCCAGATCAACTGTTAAGTTGGCTCATACCAACCCCTTCCCCTGAACCCTCCTCCCCACCGGAATATCAACAAGTTCTCGCCAGAAGTTACAATTTCATTTAGGAAAGGAATGGAACCAGTGTTAAACAGAGGTGAACAGTGGTGAACAGTGCTTAAGTCAGTGAGAACAACTCAACAGTAACAGTTGTACCCAAGTTAACCTTCACACAGTGAGGTCCCAGGTACCCAGTGATAACGGCCCGTGATAACCAGCGATGTGTTAATCCGTCTACGATAGGAAGGCCTGGGACCAAACCTCACTCATATAACACCATCTGTGAGGGAATTACTACACCACGTGAGGACCCTCATAACACCATCTGTGAGGGAATTACTACACCACGTCAGGTCCCTCATAACACCATCTGTGAGGGAATTACCACACCACGTCAGGTCCCTAATAACACCATCTGTGAGGGAATTACTACACCACGCGAGGACCCTCATAACACCATCTGTGAGGTAATTACACCACGTGAGGTCCCCCACAACACCATCTGTGAGGGAATTACTACACCACGTGGTCCCTCATAACACCATCTGCGAGGGAATTACTACACCACGTCAGGTCCCTCATAACATCATCTGAGGGAACCACTACATCACGTGAGGTCCCTTCTAACACCATCTGGGAGGGAGTTACTACACTACGTGTTTGCTGTTCAACACGTACAATCCTCCATTAATCTGTATGTTCACTGTAAGTTCCTTTACCTTTCTCTAATGAAGGCTTTTGTTAAACCACCAATGTATGTAATAAGTCATTTATGTCCAATGTATATTTTCAGCCTTCGGGCTGCAGAACTTTTTCAACAAACCGTTAATTATTATTATTATTATTATTATCTGTCTCCCTTCTCAGTAACATCTTAGTTTTTGTGATGGAAGAATCTACTTCACATACCTCAACATATTGTATTTTTCTACCCCCCCCAAGCACAAGTGTACTGTAGTAGGGGTCTAGAGCATCAGCAGATACATGATAATTGTAAATAGTAATAACATAATAAAAACAAGTGTCGTGTACTTCATGATGACTACAGATCAGTGTTGTGTCTTTCCTCAGACATGCACAAACCACACAGGGAACTTTGTCTTCTCGACTCCGCAACAATATTCTTCCTAATAATCTCTATGAAGCCAACCTGTGATAAGTACATTTGTAAGATTTGTTTATTATTTTTCCAAGTACTGTATACCTGGTTGGGGGGGGCTTGCATATGCCTACCATAGCCCATTGCAAGGGGGGGGGGGATTAAAGACATGCTTTACTGTACAGTAGTACTGTGATAATCCACTGTATTTATCATTCACTATCAAACTTATTCGTCTCTCTTCTGATTCCAATACTGTTTATTGAATTTACCCAAATTTCATAAACAATGAATATTCCCCTCATTCTATTACATGTAATACAGGCACTGTATAGGTATATTGGTTCTAATTTATTGATAAATAATTGGCCATTTATAGAAGATGAGGTTAAGTTCCTATTGTTTTGTCCTCTATCAAAAATTTATTTCTTAGGTATGCATTCCTGAACAACAGGAATGCTTCATATACCCCAATATATTTTTTGTAAACAAATAAAATATTTTTAAAACACAAAAAGTCAGTGGTGTTTTTCACACTACTAGTACACAGAATTATTCAATGTCCCAACAGTACCCTCATTGCAATCTTCATGTTATTTTCATTGTTTCTCACAGCAGTCAGCAAGTTTAACCTTTTACTTTACTTTAAACGTACTGTAATATAAATTCTTTTCTTAGCTGAGCAGTCTTACTATATAGTACCTGAATGTTCTAAATTTTTTTGTGTACTCCACCTATTTTCCATGACAGGCAATCCTCTACTGGAACTTTTTGGTTTAAATTAAAGGCTGACCTGACTGAATTTGTATCTACTGTACTGAATATAATTATTCATAATTTTTTTCCCCTTTTGTTCAGTTTTAACACTGGCTTACGTATTAAGGAAGTAATACTGTACTGTCCACTGAAACATACAGTAACTGTGAATGGGTCGAAGATAGAGCACAAACTTTTATTAATCCCTGCAGAATAATGACCTCACTGTGTCAAGTACAATTTTCTGTTCAGCTGTAAACAAGGACAATTACTGTACAGTATACCATGAACAATGACGATGATGACAAAAAATCATTTATCGTAAAAATTCTTTTATTATTTGGCATTGCATAATAGAGGTACGTATTGCACACACTGATGCAGATATGATTGAGTAATTTAATCTTGGCATCTGTGCCACACTCGGCACAAGGAAGCCTTTAACCCACTCACTGGTACTTTATATAATAAATTGTTTTTTTTTTAATAATGATTTCAGAATAATTTAGTCCATAAAATCTTCTGTACCAGATATATATTTTAAATATCTTTACTACTTATGTAATAAAAGATCCAGAGATGCAACATAATATATATTATATGTAGTATATGATAAAAAATAATAAAAATAATGTTACAGTAGACTCTTGCCAATAACAACTTCCACAATAACGGTAAGTTACAATAGATACCCATTTTCGATAATAACGTCTGGATTCTCTTGAATAACGGAGATTTTGCGGGAAGCGTCGGAGTACATCAAAGATGGCGTTTGTTTGCCACCATGTTGATGACGTAGTTGTCCACTCCGCCTCACTCTCACACACGCTCCGTGGAATACAGTGCTGTGCCCACACGAGATTTTCGCCTCTATAACCAGTGGCTGCTAGGGTTGGTGATCAATAATGGCTTCCGCATTTGCGCCTGTGGGAGCTAGGGGAGGTGGTGGAGGGAGTGATTTGCCCGGGAACTTTTAAAGTGAATGAGAAAAAAGATCCCAAAGCTAAGAGACAAAGCCACAAGAAGTGTACGCCATCTTTGATGTACTCCGACGCTTCCCGCAAAATCTCCCAACGGGATGAAGAAAATGTACTAGTTGAGACTGTGTGTGAGAAGGACCTAGGTGTGTATGTTGACAATGAGCTAAAGTTCTCGGGCCATTGTGAGAAGAAGGTAAATCAGGCAAATAAATTATTGGGTCTTATAAGAAGGTCGTTCAGATATCTAGACGGTCCGTCCCTCGTGACGATCTTCAGGAGTGAAGTGCTTCCCCATCTGGAGTACTGTCACCCCATCTGGTCCCCGAGATATGCTAGGGACTGTCAGTTGGTTGAAAATGTTCAAAGGAGGGCCACCAAGCTGGTGCCTGCACATCTCAGCTACCCGATTGGCTGAAGCGCTTATACTACAGACGGCAGGGGACCTAGTTGAGGTTTACATCTCAGGCACTACGTTGGTGTCATTGAGCTGGCGGATCGCCCGGGCGCTAGATTGAAAGCCGCAAGTCCGGAACCGTGAGGGCAAACTTTTGGATGAGGTTTAAACTCTAACACACCAGAAAGTGTTGGAGCAGAGTGGGCTCTTTCAAGAAGACTTGACCAACACTGACAGTTCAGACATTCAGGGCGTATGCCAGTATTTGCCAACAGTGGTGAAGAGACGGAGATCGGGGGTAGAGGACTTTTGTGAAGAATATAAAGGAAAGAGTCGGACCGATCCGGCCAAGCATCAGTGGCAGAGGATAAAAGTAAAGTAATAAAGAACAGATTGTTGAGCTCATTGAAAGTGGTGCACGGAACATTGATATTGTGAGGAAATTGAACTGTCCTGAGTCTACAGTGCGAAATATTAAGAGGAACTTAGAGGAGACCAAGAGTAGTATTGCACTGGCAAAGAAATATTTCGGTAGTGATGGAAATGTGAGGCGAGCTATGAATGATAAAGGCTATAGAAACAGGTTGTTAGAGATAACAGAGCATTTTCTTGTGAAATGGTTAGGTTGTAGAATGAAAGACAGTGCAAGTGTTAGTGGCCCTCATATACGGAACAAAAAACTCCCCCAAGCTAAGTGTTATATGACTCAAACTCTTTAATTTGATGATTGAATAACAATTCTTTTTATTTCTGCTTACAAAAAGTGTTAGGAGGGCTTCTAAGGGGAAAAATTTGGTGAAATTCTTGGGGCGGCGGCACCGATACACCCTTTTTATATGTATTTTAATGTCACACAAATAACGTTTTCGCTAATAACGGTGTTTTTCAGGTACCTATTAGACGTTATTGGTGAGCCTACTGTAAATTCTTGCATGATTGAATATATCCAAGCAAAACTTTTAAAATGTGTCCATATCTGAACCGACCATAAACATTTATCATCACTAATTTAGAAAAATTTTTATCCTGACAAAAAATATTGTAATTAAATTTTCATTATGTGAAAGTCAAAATGTTAAAACTTAAAAAATCTATCATTAAGCAAAATCATGTTGGGTTCATTTTGTAAAAAAAAAAAAAATCTTAAAAATTTATGTAGAAATAAAATTTTAATTGATGAATGTTTATGTGGTCAAATAATAATTGGTAACTTTCCTCTAATATTAAGATAAATATCAATATCATAATACACAATTCTAATCTCAATTTACAATATAACTAGATGTACAGTACTGTACTGGTCATTCTCTTTCAAGAATTACTGTAACTCAGTGTCAAGCAAACAAGTCTAATCTCTCACCATACATCTCAGTGTAGAATTAGCTTAGTTTAATCCTCTATTGCATTAAAACTCCTATTGGCTAAGCCATCAACCATCAGCTTTATACCCAAAAATTTCCTGTCTAGAACACAGTACAGTACTGTACGTATACACTTATATATTCATGACAATTTGTTAAGATACTGCACTATGTAACTGCCAGGTTAAGACACCAATAAGCTAGATACTAGATCACACTTCTACCTCATGATAATGATATGAGAAGTACAAACTAATCAAATCACTAATGGCATCATATTCCATTATAGTTTGTCAAATAAAGCTGAAAAATATTGATAAAAAATTTTGTAAAATGTAATTTCATCGAAACAATTACTGTACTCAATTTATATTTTGTGCTCACAAACAAAAGAATGTGAAGTATATATTCTAATCTACTGACAGCCAATACATAACACTGCTTTAAATATATAATGTTTATGTAACTTGCCTCAAAAATATAGTATATTGTCAGTTTGCCAGATACCCCTGTACAAAACTTTCCATTATATAATCCTCAAAGTTATAGAAAATTGCTCGAAAGGTAGACTTACTTTTTCCATCAGTAGCGTTACCCTGAGAGAGCCATTAAAACAATTTTTCATAAGCCATCTGTTTACACCAGCTGGCTACATAAAGCACAGATTCAGGTAAACGTGGTGGAGCCATGACTCCGCATTTTTTCATAATTGGACTACTGTCTGATGAACAACTCAACCACTGTTTTTTGTTAATAGCTTCCATCTCTTCCAGCTTATTGTCTCTGACTTGCTGATGAGCATCAATGTTTTTTGATAATAGCCATGACTGTCCATTAGTCGATGGGCTTAGCCTGCCAGCAGGTGTGGTCAAACTTCTCCCAAATTTCACTGCTTGAGCTCATACTCACCTTTTTAAGAGCATCAGACAGAGCTTCTGTTGTGATTTGACTTTCTTTTTCATTGCTACATTTCTCTTTATCCTTTTCATCCTTTTCTTGTGTGTTTTTGTCTTTCTCTTGAACTTGTTAAGAAGCCAGATATTTGAGTGAGTGGCAAGTTTAACTCTTGGTGCCGAGCTGACAGGTGTATTACGTTCTAGCTTCAGCCACTTGCCCCCTGGAGCTTCATACATGGCACGCTTTACAGGCAGTGGTAAAATTGAATACGTTACATTTCTCCAACAGCCATTGTGAATTTTCCGAAGCAAGAATGCTCACCATGTGAGCTAGTATAGGTCTACTTCCTTCAGACTCGGACATCGTCCTCTTCCGACTTGTCTTCGCTCTAAAGTTAGCAGACTGTTGCAACTTCTCCAAAGCAGTTTCTCTGCAATTATTCTGGCATACACAGTCATTAAATGATGAGCAAGTCTCATTGGCTTGGCATACAGAGCTGATATTAACTTGCTGCAGCAGAGCATTTCCAAGATTTGTAAGCTTGTCACTCAGCCACCGGGACTTGTCACCAACAAACGCATGAAGATTCTCAATCTCACATTGCAGAACCTGGTGTACTGCATACATCCTGAAAGATATAAGCAACTTAATACAATCAAACAATTAAATAATTAATTACAGTACATGGTATAGGAAGGCATAATACAAAGGGAGAAAGATAACTTCACCACTATGTTCACCAAGGTCCAAGTGTATAAAGTTAATGTATATTTTCACAATATGTTCAGACCTACAGTAAGTGCCCTTAACCTTGATGATCACTGAAATAAATCACATCATCCTTGTTATACTGTACGCTAATTGATCAACTGACGGAGTTTATATCATGTTAAGCTTTGCTAATGGCTCCTGTGGGTCCAGATCTGTAGAATAACTCATTTTATATGACTGCCAACTAGTGACTATAAATATATGTGTGGATGCCACAATAACAGAGAAAATGCAGTGTGTGTGTGGTGAAAGGAGCATTGCGTTCCTGCCTTCCACATTGGGGTGTTGCCACATCTCCCATTGAAAACTTTCAGGAAACTATCTGACATACAATCTTGTACCTCCAATGAACATGTGTGTATATAGAGAACTAATCTTATAGTTATACTTATCAGTAAATACCAACTGCCATTAAACTAAGTAAGGAGCTTATAGGTCTTTTTCACTGTTACCATGTGACTTTGGGGGTCCTTTGGGTTAGGTTAGGTTGATACAGCCAGTTTCATTAAGATGGAAAAGCAGTTTGAATAACATAATGCATCTCCATTAGATAAGTACATATAAAAGAAAAATTAAACTTCTAAAAAGGATGCCAAGGTCAGCAACAGGCTAAGAAATATTGCAGCAGCTCTTCAAATCACAGTACATACATCCATCTCATACAGGAATACACCTAATGATACAAGTTGCAGTACAGTAACTATTTGTTGAATAGTCAGGGAAAGGCTGGGATACATCTTGACACTGGGTAATGCTTTGGCCAGCTGGGTAAATGTACTTTACACTGAAAGAGTGCAAATTCATGGAAAATAGGCACTTTTCTTTTCATAGCTATTTACAAAACAATCCATTATTTCTAGAACAATTTAGAGGAAATACAAAACTATCAGACACTGATGTATGCCTTGCAAATTTATTTAATTCAGATAGAAGTCATGAGTCATGATTGATAAGTAAAGTTGGAAAACTTAATGCTAAATTTCATGATACGAAGCAGTCACATCTTGCATTTCATATGCAGACCCTATAACCAGTTACTGAATGACATAACAGGTCAGTATTACAAATAGATGGCCAGAGGTAATTCTGTAGGTTCCTCCATATCATATGGCAGTACAGTAGTTTAAAAAGATAAAAAATATATTATCCTAACAGGTTCAGTGAAAGAATGAAGTATCTTCTGGGGGTTGTGACAAATACATCGCAGAACAGTTGGGCCATTCCACACATGCATGGTGTGGAGCCCATAAACAGTTAGCAGGCCAGTGAAATCTTGAAAAGTGGTTGCCAGTGACACCATTCAATGTGTTGGGTATTCAAGTTTCATTATATTTTGGCCCTAACCTGGAAAGATACTTCAGTCTCTCACTGCACATGTAAACATGTATTCCTGTTATTATTTACAATATGGTGCAAAATATTTTTTTTGTGCACTACTATCAAGACAATATGCTCATGTGTAACCTACCACCAACAGAAATAAAAATGCTAAATATATACTGGTATAGTAATATATTTATTTGAAGGTACCATAGGTATGCAAGAAGCAGAAAAAATATAAAACATGGGAAAATTAACAATATGAGCTGCTTAATATATTTATTTAATATGAAAAGAGCTGATCACTGATCTCCATGCACCAGTTAGAATATATCTTTATACATAATGATAATGACTAATTAATGTTAAGCAACTGAATAAAACTATCTCAACCCTGCAGGGAGCTCTCCTCTCAAAGGATGGCCACAACAAAGACACCTCCAGGCTGCCTTATCACTACCTGTTCTTTGCCCTTTCTATTACCCTTTCCACCTCCGATGATACATTCCTTCCCTATTTCTCCAATCACTCTCCTCCAAAATATTGTTTTCATCCTAATTTCATTCTCCATTGCACCATTCTTTCTTAGCATCTCTCCCAAATGCTTACTACCATTATACAGTACAGTATCCAGTGGTCCCTCGATTAACGAACACAATTGGTTCCACAGAGTCGTTCGTGAACCAAAAATTTCGTTAACTGAATCTATTATTTTAATGGGATATTGGGTAATTGGTTCTTAGTCACAGAAAAAGTACATACAAAGGACTGTATACCGGTAATAGAATTAACAAAACATTAAATACAGTCGGCCCTTAACATACGCGGGTTTATAATACACGGATTTGCAAATACGCGGATTGCCCCGCCGGAGGAATGTTCTGTACATTGAAGTAATTGAAGTACATTCAACTCGCGCGCGGCACCTCACACGGGACACCGCCCGCTCCCGCAACCTCACACACACACGCATAGCTCTCCCTCACTCAGTCAGTCTCGCTCTAACCACGCTTGTGTTGACATCAGCATTGTAGTTGCAAAAATATTACATTTCCGTGAATGTATTATATCAAGCACAGTATGAATAGAATATCACTAATATAAGAGTATTTTAACCGAAAACTACTAAAAACGAGTAACATATCTTGAACATCGGAAGGTTAGGTAAAGTCTCTTGTTTTCGTCATGTATTTTATCCTATTTTACATTGAAATACATCACGTTTCAGCAAAACTACTATTTATTTCTGAGAATATATTCATTCAGGCACAGTTTAGGTAAAATATACATGTGCTGTAACATTTTTTTTATTGAAAACGATTAGAAAAACACGTACCCTCTAGCCCTGTTCAAGGAGAAGACTGGGAGGAGCTGTTTGGTGCTTAAGACGATGACAAGGAAAATGATTTTGATGGATTGTAATGAAAATATTCAGAAAGACCCTGGCACTGTCAAGGAAAGTGGCTGCTGAAGGCTTCCAGGACATGGCAGAGGATGAGATTAGGGAGCTAATTGAAGAGCACGACACTGAGCTGACCGAGGAGGATCTACAGGAGTTAGTAGACTCAGGCAAGGAAGAGGAAGAGGAAGCGAAAGGGAAAGAGGAAGAGCACCAAGAAATAACGTTGGAGAAGTTGGGGGAGATGACCTGGAATATTGAGGCACTGAAAAACCTGGCCTATAGTATGGACCCCTCCATGGTGCGTGCCCTGAAATTCATGCGAGGGATGGATGACGTTTTTGCTCCATACAAAAACATCATGGAAGAAATGAAAGAAAGAGACGACAACTCCCCATCACCATGTTCTTTGATCACCGAAGGAGAGATTTAACACCATCAATCACTGGCGGCAGTGAGGAAGCAGCTGAATCCACCGTCGCCCCCACTTCACCACCCGTTATGGAATTCAGTGACGATGAGCCCGATGACCCCCATCCTGTCGCCGAGGATAGGTACTGTACAGTAAAGTGAAATTTTTATCTCGTTTTTTTAATAGCTTTTCTTGCCATGTTTATTGTTTGTAAAAATGCACAGCACAGTACAGTTCAGTACTGTACATAGGAAGTGGAGGTGCAGTTATTCACAAAACATATGTGTTTGTTGTCGGCAGTTGAGGAGGCGGAAGAGGTAGAGGAGGCTGAGGAGGGAGTGAGTTGGGAGGAGTGGTGACCTTGGTCGCGGGAGCAGGGACGAGTGGAGATGCCAGCCAGTACATTTCGGGTGTATTAATTGTTTTTATAGCTATTTTTGCATTTTAATATTAAATACTGTACATTACGTTTCAACAAAACTACCATTTATTTCTGAGAACATGGAAATGTAATATTTTTGCTGAAATGATGTACATATTACAGTGGAAAGTGGGATAAAATTGTGACGAAAGCAATGACTCTTTCTTTCGTTCAAAAGATGTTGCCGTAATCGCTTTTTGAATGGTTTTCAGTTGTGGGATTATAAGGCTAATGATAGGATAGAATATTATTGTAATACAGTACGAGTAAAATAGTTTTTAACTGAAAACCATTCGAAAAGCGATTACAGTAAAATCTTTTGAACAACGAAAGAAAGCGAAAGTCATTGTTTTCGTCATGATTTTATCAGTTTCCACTGTAATATGTACGTCATTCCAGCAAAAATATTATATTTCCATATTTATTTCTCAGTCACAGTTAAGGTAAAATATACTTGTGATGTAATATTTTAATGAAAATACGGTATCGTAGTTTTCTTTTGTTTCAAATTTAATTAACAAAGATTGATGTTTCAAATGTAATGAAAAAAAATTTATGTACAGTATCTATAAATACACTTTAATAAATGAATACTTTGTTTTACATCGTCCTGTGCAACCATACCATGGATTTGGCTACTTTGGGCTTGCTATGATGACGCAAGAGATCTGCCCTGGCAACTGTACCAACACTCACAGCTGGTGGAGCGTTGGTGCATCGTTTCCATTGTTTACTGGTAAATATTTTTCAACCTAATGAAACTATTACCCTTTTAGAGGTCGACCCCCAAATTTTTGCCAAATAATTTGGTCTTAAAAGCTCGAACTACACACAGGTATATACGGTAAATAAGGTCATGGGGGGGCAGCACATATACGCGGATTTTTAACATCCACGGGTATCTCTGTTACATAACCCCTGCATATGTTAAGGGCCGACAGTACAAACTAAATATAGTACTGTACTGTACGCTGTATAATAATAAATAAAAAACAATAGAATACTATATTTTAACTTACTTTGAGGAGTGTATGTCGTATTCCTGGCAGCTTTGTTTACATATCAAACAGCTGATTGTAGAGGCAGTCAATGATGACATGCCATATTCTTTACAGAGTGCATTGGTTCTAATGCCTTCTTCATGTTTCATAATAATTTCTGCACTGAATATTATCAATATGTGAACTAAATTTCAGAATGACCAATAATTTCAATGTAAAAATGCAAAAATATTCAAGAGACCAACAAACTGGATGTTCACACCACTGTGAACAAAGTTAAACTAAAAAGTGTTGGTGGGTGATTCAATCAGCTGATTGGCACACAAAAAGTGTTCCCTGTACAGTACTGTACATATTATCTATATGTTAACTAAATTAGAATAACCAATAATTTTAATATAAAAGATGCAAAAATATTCAAGAGCATGACTTTCTTGACATTTACTCCACTGGAAACGAATGTAAACATAGAACCAATTACCGCATTGGCGGACTATCCGATCAGCTAATGCGCACAACAATGTGTGTTTCTCATAAGGCTTTCGTCAATCGAAGTTTTGTTCGTAAGTGGAATTGAAAATCCTTATGGGAGCTAATTCGTTAACTGAAATTTCGTTAATTAGACCGTTCGTTAATCGAGGGACCACTGTATACCTGCTCGAGTATTTCATTCTTCTTCATACTTTTACATATATGCATCCCCCATATTACGGAAATTCGCTAATATGAAATTTGTAAATTATGGCCACTAAATTTGGGATACTGCCAGTAAATTAAACCTTTCGTAAATGGGGTAAATTTTCAACACAAAAATCACGATATATAACCAAAAAAAATATTTCACAAAATTATAGCTTATTTGGTAAGGATTCCTTGTTGTTTGCTACCAGCAAACATGGGTACACCGGTGTACCCACGCCGACTCGGTGTGTTATCACCCAGCTTGTACGCTTGACCCCAGCTCTTGGATTTATCAATAACATATCTTACTCAAGACTGTCCAGTGTATTACCCTTATTCAAGAGGAGTGGAAAGAGGTCATCAAGTGCAAGTGAAAGCAATACTGTAGTGCTAAAAGACCCTGCAAAAGAATTACGTTGGGTATAAAACTCACCTAACAGTGTTTTGTATACTGTACTGTACAGTAGGGGCAGGGAAAAAACACTTTTATTTGAGTTGCAGGCTGCACTTTTCAGGCATCGTTTGTATGGCTGTAACAAACACCTGTGCAAAATTTCATGCCATTTCATGCATACTTACCCTGCCGCATCGCGAACGACTTTTTGTCAACTTTTAGTGTATACCAAAAATTAGGTGTCATTTAATGTTTTCCAGGATAATGATAAATTTTACATGGGTGACCGATTTAATTCACATGTTATTTTACAGGTACACCGTATAGAAAATCATTACAAGTTCAAATTGAAATTCTTTTTTGTGCGGAACCTTGGCATCATTTTCCTAGACAATAATCTTTGCCTAATATATCCATCTCTCGATTCGTATCCCGTCACTTCAGTGCAAGCTTCAGTCATCACTTTTATGCCTCTCTCGACCGCCTGAGTGCTGTTTGGCCACTTGGGCACCACTAATGGTGTCTCAAGAATGTCATTAACCTGTAGATTTGACAGAGAAGCAATGTAAGGAGGCTCAGTCTTGAGTTCATTCCTCCAGTTAATCATGGAATGATAGTTTTTTGCTTGCCACTTTAGTTTCGGAGTCACCACCTTTCTCATGTTGACTACAGGAGGCACATCCTCATTCCCATCTCCATCTTTACCCTCCTCATCAGTATAGTTTAACAAATTCTCGTCAACAGCAGCATCAGAATCTTCCTCCTCCTCTTCAGATCTGCCAGTGCATTCTTCCTTTTGCTGATTCTCCTCTCTAATTTTTCTTATCATTGAGACAGCTTTTTCTCTAACAGTCATGTCCTCATCTGCACACATACCAAGAAGAAGTTGATCTGTGTGGGCGAAGTATGCATTTCTCTGGACAGCCTTCTTCACTATCGTCTCCTCCTCACTATTCAGGTGTTTCATATATAGCAGGGACTGGAATACGTTCCTTGAGCCGTGTGTTACGTAAGGGTGTATCTTGATGTAAAACCACATTGGAGCACTGAACTTTATTATTGTAATGACAATTCTTTTCAACTCATGGCTGGGTCTTGATGTTGCTACATACAGCCTGAGGATTCTACTCCATAAGGTGTTCCACCTTGACACACAGGGAGGACCTGGCTCAATAGCAGCCAAGTCATCTTCAACAACACCTGTGATAACTCCTTTACAAATCCTATACAGGTATTTCTGATCCCAGGACAGATCTTTCTCCACTTCATCATTAAACACAGGGAAATCAGGGAAACTGACTGGCTGGAAGGCAACAACTGGAAGCTCAGACAAAGACTCCTTGATCTGCTTTCCAATGGGACCACGCCAATGCTCAGGACCACTTGGTTTACCATCATAGTGATAAAAAACTGCGCGGAAAGGCAGCTCATTTCCGTGAAGCTGACATATGAAATAATGGAGCGGGTGACCAAGTAACATTTCAAGATGATGAATGACTCCATTTTCTGATCCTACATTTACATTGGTTCCATCACAACCAACACACACAATGGGCTGCTGGGTTAGATTTTTCTCCACCAGAAACTCGTGAATAGTTTTGGCAATCTGCTTTCCGTGTCCAGTCTTGGGAGTCACATGTGTGAGATATTCATTGCCAGGCTCAACCATGATGACATAATGATCTTTCACCATCATCCTCGAACTCCATTTCTCGGTCTTCTCATTCTTTATCATCACACGAGTGGCGGTCTTCTTACCATCAAAATAGAGTGACGTCAAATTATCGAAACTAGCCATCTCAATTTCTTGCCTCTTAAATCGGTATTTTTGTCTCGCATCCCGCAGCTTATGTGGTACAGTAACACAACATTGAGAAATGAAATGAGAAAAGGCTGATAATCAATATAGACATAGCACCATACTCATCTGCAACAAGACAACTTAAATGAAATAAGAGATATGAAAAAAAAGTTGATAAACACTGAACAGAACATTGCACCGCCACAGCGGCTGTTTGGCTAGTACTGTAGGTAAATTTAATAATTTCAGTAGAAAATGCGGCAGACTAAACCTCGACATATCAGCTTCAAATTTGGCATGGAGTCTTAGATATGTATAAGGAACAATGCCTGAAGAGTGCAGCTTTGAGCAAAATTTCACTGCCCCCTACTGTACAGTATTATTTTTATTTATTCCACATGTTTACTGGTGCAGTATATATTATTTTATGTACAAAGAATAGCTCCTCCCACGCTCGAACCATCCTCTGGGTGATGTGACACAGTTCAGCCGCTTAGTTGGGCAGTCACCCAGCTGACTCATATCGAAGAGGGAGGAAAGGGCAAGTCGTCTGCACAGTTACAGCTCACTGCCTCCACACACAAACATTCACTTCCCACACATACATACCCATGCTCATTTTTCTTATCTTATTAATGCTATAGTATTATATTTTCTTTATTTCTAAGCCACATTAGAGTACAGTATTGAAATGATTTTAATTATCCTTTTTTCAAATGATCACAGACAAGTGATAATCATGTTGAGCAAGCAAGAGATGATGGGTTGACTCAGGCAGGAGCGAGTCCCAAGTGTCAAAAACATATAAGCAACGTACAATATAAGTGGGATTGCGTACTATGGACACACGCACTCCGAGACCCTACTGTACTTATGGAAGTCAATGGGAAAATGGGGTTCACGTTAGTCAACTTTTCAAGGACACATCCTACTGCAACCTGAGGAATTATTGTATTACCTTCCTCAGATTTTCTTTTCTATATGATTATTCAAAACCTACTACAGTACTGTATATTAAAAGCAGTACAGCAACAGTACACACAGGTTGTCCTTAAGATTGTTGGTTCAATTCTGTAAAATTGGGGAAAGGAAGGTAGTTGAGGGCAGTGTCAGCCACCAAACCTATTTGTATAGAAAAGGCTTAACATCCAGTGTGCTATATCCACACTCCCTAACAGTCAGCCATGCCTATGGGACCCATTTTCCCTTTTTCCTACATCAAATCTCCTTAACAATAATAGTTAGAGGGTGTTTACATTCAAATTGCAAGTGGTTTGGTGCCAGAACTAGATACTGTACACAGACGAGTTAGTGAAAATTATGGGGGCATAACAAGCGGAGTAGGGAAAGTAACAATGGCATATGAAGCAGAGGGAGGAACAAGTGCCTCTTAATTATCTTGTAGTCCTTTGTAGTCCTGGATAATTTATAAAAAGTCAAATACATAAACAGCAATTTAGCTTACCTTCTCAGAGTCATAGTGGCTCGAAACAATTTCAATACTTGAACCATCTGAGGTTCGCACAGGACTATTCATGGCCACCATGTCAAAACTCCCAATACTACTTTGTGTTGGAACATCATCTTCATCCTCCTGTGCACCAGCAAGCTGAAGGCCACTTAGCCAAGAGGTAATATCTTGAGACTTGGCTTGCCCACCGATACCACTAAGAGCCTGTATGGGTTGGTGTAATATGTATTACAGTACAGTATTCTGCATTAAAGGTCCAGATTTTCTTAACACATTCACTAAGTAATTTACAAATCATGGCCATGCCTTCCACAGATGGTAAAATATTATACAGCACAGCCTCTTAAGTCAGGAAATCAAATAAACCCCACAAGTTATAGGCCAAAAGAGAGATGTTATGTGATTTTTAGATGCTTTAGTTGCCGGTGTACAGCAATTCAGATGAATATTTGCTTTCAATGAGTTGGTTTTGAAGAAGTTTCTTTTTTGAGGAATTTACTGTAAACCAATTTTCAGACAAAATATGTAACCAAAGACCAACCAAACTAAATACAAGACAAAACTCAAAAAATCAATACAGAACATCATGAATTGCATGAAATAGAAGGTCATTTCCCACTCATTGTGGGGCTTGAAGAAATTAAAAAAAAAATTACCAACACAAGTTTAAAAAATAAATTGTTTTTATACTTGAAAATATTACCATTTATGAATATAAAATCTATGAAGAGATAGATAGACATACCACCTTGGTCCAGTCCCTTAGATGGTCCAATTACAGAGCCTTTACTATATTTGTAATACTACAGGAAAGCCTCCGATAACGACGGTTCTACTAACGACGATTCTTATTTAAGAACCTGGCTAATTTAAGACCCAATTCAATTTACGCCATTATTTTCTTTGTATTTAAGGCGAAAATAGAATAAAAAATGAATAATTTATATAAATAACTAAATCCCGCCTTGCACATGGAGGCTGCCGGGCTTGTGAGTGGTGATGCCAGCATCACTAGTACAGTGGTCCCTCGGTTAACAAACGGTTCGATTAACGAATTAGTTCCCATAAGGATTTTCAGTTCGATTAACAAACAAAACTTCGATTAACAAAAGCCTTACGAGAAACACGTTTTGTTGTGCGCATCAGCTCATCAGCTAGTCCGCCAATACAGTAATCGGTTCTATGTTTACATTCGTTTCCAGTGTTGTAAATATCAAGAAGGATGTGCTCTTTAATATTTTTGCATTTTTTATATTAAAATTATTAGTCATTCTGAAATTTAGTTAACATATTGATAATATAAACAGTACAGGGAACAGTTTTTGTGTGCCCATCAGCTGATTGAATCACCCACCAACGCTTCTCAGTTAAACTTTGTTCACAGTGGAGTGAACATCCAGTTTGCTGGTCTCTTGAATATTTTTGCATTTTTACATTAAAATTATTGGTCATTCTGAAATTTAGTTAACATATTGATAATATACAGTGCAGAAATTATGGAACATGAAGAAGGCATTAGAACCAATGCTCTCTCTAAAGAATATGGCATGTCATCATCGACTGCCTCTACAATTAGCTGTTTGATATGTAAACAAAGCTGCCAGGAATACGACATACACTCCTCAAATTAAGTTAAAATACAGTATTCTATTGTTTTTTATTTATTATTGTACAGTATACTGTACAGTACTGTATTTAGTTTTTATTTAATGTTTTGTATACAGTACTTTGTATGTAAAGTTGTACCCCGATTTACGCGGTCAATTGAACCCACAGGGTACCGCGTTAAGTGAAATCCGCGTAAATGGAACAACAGAACATATGGGTTTAATTCCATTAGAGACTGGCCCGACCCCCAAACTCCACTTTTTGACGACACACAACTATGTTGAAGTAAAAATTTTATCTTAACTTTATGATGGTATGAACAAACAAGTAATATAGAAGAGGTTAGGTTAGGAAAAATAAAAGTTAGGTGTAACACTTACGTTAGTAGAAGAGAGACACTGCGCAACCTTACAGCGCGGCTTGCCCAGGCGGAGGGAGGCAGGAGGGAGGGAGGAGGAGGAGGGAGGGAGGAGGAGGAGGGAGAGGCGAGGCATGCGGGAGCAGCGGGTGGGGCGAATCTAAAAATAGCGTCTCGAGCCGGACACACTGCGCGTATATGGGTAGATGAACCGCGTTAAGTGAAAGTTCGGTTCTGGCGAGGCACCGCGTATATGAGAAATCGCGTTAAGTGAAACCGCGTAAAGCAGGGTACAACTGTATACTTTTTCTGTGAGTTGGAACCAATTACCCAATATCCCATTGAAATAATAGATTCGGTTAACGGACGACTCTGTGGAACCAATTGTATTCGTTAACAAAGGGACCACTGTACTGTATAACCAGTCGCAACGGGCGGGCCCTTTGTTTTCAGTCATCTGAACAGGAATAGGAGAAAAACTTTCTCAGGTTTCTTACGGCATTTCTGCGTCCCTATTCAACATGAGCAAGAGATGGTAGTGCGGGTTCAAAAGCTAAAAGAATTTGTATAAGCTTAGCCGAGATACTAGAGGTGTTAAAACGATATGAAAAAGGTGAGAGGTCTGTGGATATTATATGGAGCAAGCAATGAACATATTTTCTGAAGTGTATCCATTAACAAAACGAAGCATTAAAATTAACAGGGACATGAAAAATGCAAATGACCTCTACATAAAGATGTATAATGAGAAAAGAAAGAAGCTGTGCAAGGTTCTTTCAACACCTTTAATATTAGAAGGCCTAAACCACCAACTTCAGCTACACCATCAAATTCAGCATCATAAGCAGATTCATCAACAACTTCAGGTTCATTAACAGTTTCAGGAACAGCTTCAGGCAGAGTTGAACCTGAGTAAAAACTCACACATCATTGACTGTCTTTATGTTTTAGACTTTACCACCATTGGTGAGTAGAATTTTTTTTTACATTCATAAGTATTTTTATTTAAAATATATATGAACAGTAAATAAGTGTTGCTTTCATATTCTTATGTAGAAAAATGGCGATATGTTTTCACATGTACGCAATTACATACGTTGGCGTTCCCAATCCATCTTGCTTTATTTCTTTACCATTAGTGGTTAGCTACAGTACTTCTGTTCTATTTATCAACATTAAATAACATTACTTAAAAAATACATACAGATATTCATTTTTTTACATTAGTTCACTACAGCTACAACCAGGGTCTTATTTTCTTCAGTTTCTTATGTAGAACCATCGTCACTCACGAAAACAATGCCGTTTCGACTCCTCTTGTGTGTTTTCATATTCTACGTATTATTAATGAATTGCATTGTTCATTTTGCATACACTGTATAAACATTAATTCAATCAAATACATATTCAGTAATAAACAATAATGAATCTTTTGTGCATATTTGTACATATTCTTAAGATAAATGATGCTGTTTCTTTCAGTGCGCACAGATACATTGGCGTTCCACTATCACTCATTTTTTTCTTTAATACCAGTGGTTATTTCCACTGTACATTAACATGAATTAAGACATACATATTTTTTACATTAATTTTACTACAACAACAACCAGGGTCTTATTATCTTCAGTTTCAGGAGGATAAATAATAATAATAAACGGTTTATTAATAAAGTTGCAGCCGGTGACTGAAAATATACAAACTTACATGTGATTTAGACATAATAATATATGTTCAATACATTTACAGGGCTGTACAGAACATAAATCAGGAGCTGTTTATTACTTTAACAATAGATGGGATGGTGCTATTCTTATATCTATCAGTGCGGGATTTTATGGGTTGAATTTTGCTGTAGTGGCGGACTGCACGAGGTGGGGGGAGGACTGCCGGTGGCAGTAGGTGTCAATAACGAGGATGGTGCAGTAGTCCACTGCCAAACCCTCCTAGTGCGTGGTGGTGGTCACTGAGGGATGGCATTTCCAGGGTGGAGAGAGCGTTGTTGTAGCCGGAGTAGTCTGCACCGAGCATGATTCTGCAAGCCCTCTTCTGTACCTTCTCTAGCTGACGTTGTTGGGTAGAGTTAAGAGAAGACGACCAGGCTGGTGACGTATACGTTAATTTAGGGAGAATAAATGCGTTGTAGATAGTCCCCAGCTCTGGCGTGGGTGCCCCAAGTGACCTGAGTCGTCGTAGCATGTAGAGTCGGTACGAGGCTGCCTTGATAGTGTTGTTTACATGGGCCTTCCAGTCCAGTTTGTGGTCTATAGTTACACCCAGGAGTTTGGCAGACTGCACTAACTGGAGAGGATGGGCATCCACTGTAACTGCTGGAGCTTGCACTGGAGTGGTGACGGTATTAAGAACATACGAAAATAAGGAGCCTTACTACAAAGCTGCTAAGCTTATTCCACTCGTCCACCACCCTATTTGTGAACCAGTTCCTTCCTATCTCCCTCCTAAACCTAAACTTATCCAACTTAAATCCATTGCTCCGAGTCCTATCCTGCTCGGATATTATAAGAACTTTATCTATATCCCCTTTATTGATTCCTTTCACCCACTTAATTACTTCTATCATATCTCCCCGCACTCTTCGTCTTTCTAGGGAATGCAAGTTTAGTTTCTTTAACCTATCTTGATATGGAAGGTTTCTAAGTCCCGGAGTCATTTTCGTCATTCTTCGCTGCATCGACTCCAGTGAATTGATATGCATTCTACAGTAAAGGCCCCAGAACTGAACAGCATAATCGAGGTGCGGCCTGACTAGAGCAAGATATAGTTGCAATAAGACCTCTGCACTCTTATTACTTGCACTTCTAAATATAAAACCCAATACTGTTTGCCTTATTTCGAACATTAACGCACTGTTTTCTAGGCCATAGGTCCAGGTTTATAAGTATCCCTAAGTCTCTTTCACAAGTCGACTTCTCTAGGTTGATATTGTTAAGGCTGTATACATTGACAGTATTTGTTCTTCCAATATTAAGTACGCTGCACTTGCTGGTGTTGAATTTCATTTGCCATTTTTCAGACCACCCCTGCAGTTTATTTAAATCCTCCTGTAGTGCATTTGCATCCTGCCCTGAATTAATCTGCCGCCCTATTTTGGTGTCATCCGCAAACTTGCTTATGTCACTGCCCTTCCCAGTATCTAGATCGTTTATGTAGATTATGAACAAGAGTGGGCCTAGTACTGACCCCTGGGGAACACCACTGGTTACACAGCCCCACTCAGATTTAACACCATCTACGCTGACCCTCTGCGTTCTATCGGTGAGCCATGATTTTATCCAATTTAAAACTTCCCCTCGATACCATGAGCCTTAACTTTTCTCAGAAGCCTCTGATGCGGTACTTTGTCAAATGCTTTGCTAAAGTTTAAGTAAATAACATCGTAATTTTCGTTAGACAACAGCAGATTTGTTAGACAAGTATTGAAGTGCATGACCACGGTTTTGGTGTGATTGATGGTGACCTTGTTCGCCATAGTCCATGCCTGTAGCCTGTCCAGGGTGCCTTGTAGCGATGAGTAGTCCGGTGAGGTGTTGTCCACCTTAACCCCCACAGTACAGTCAAACACATATTTCCACCTGTGAGGAGTGTCCGATACAGCGTCATTGATCCGGATTAGGAAGCACAGTGGTCCCATCTTGGTCCCCTGGGGAACACCGCAGGTGAGGTTTTGGAATGTGGAGACGGAGCCCTGGTACCTGACAACGCTCACTCAGGAAATCAGTGAGCCATGAGACCAGGTTGGTGGGCAGCCCTAGTGCAATGGCCTTGTTGATAACAGTGCAGTGATCAACAAGGTCAAAAGCTTTCCTGAAGTCAACAAGGGCAACGGCCAGTGATGTCTTACGTTTCTCCAGGTTTTTGTGTAAGAAATCCAGGAAACTAATTAAGCAGTGATCTAGAGGAGGTCCTCATATTACCAAATTAATGTGGATGTAAACACTGACAGCAACAATGTCGTCTCTTCTCCTCTTGTGTTTTAATATTCTATGTAGTATTAATGAATTGTATTGTTCATTTCGCATATATAAAGATTAATTCAATCAAATACATATTCAGTAATAAACAATGAATAAATCTTTTGTACATATTCTTAAGATAAATGACACTGTATATATTTTGGCGTTCACAATCTATCTCGCTTTTTTCTTTGCCATTAGTGGTTAGCTACTTCTATTGTTCCATTTATTAACATTAAATAACATTACTTAAAACATATATATATTCATTTTTTACACTTTAGTACAGCTACAACCAGGGTCTTATTTCTTCATTTTCTTATGTAGAACCAGCGTACCGGGTGTAAACACTAACAAAAACAATGGCCATATAATTATTCTTTTATATTGTATTAGGTGCATTCATAAACATTAAAGAATATAGTTTGTATTTTTCAATAATTTTATTGTTTGGGGGGAAAAGAGGGTAAAAAGCAACACAAAAGATATGAAAAGTTCACACTTGGGAACGCATCTCATTATTAATGCTTTATTTAATAGTAATTCATGATACGATGATTCACCTTACACTGCAATATTGGAGGACATATTACCGTCGTTATTCGAGGCTTTACTGTACTAACCTTGGGAGATGCAGTCTGACTACAATTTTGTTCTTTCTGTTGTGCAAGCCAATTGTGGTTTGCCAGACGAGGAAATTGGACAGTGATGCGCAGAGGAGAGTCGGGTCCAGAAGCTGCCCCAGCAACACTCTTGTGCAACACATCATGCTCATCATCCTCGTATTCTTCAACTCTACAATGTGTTAATTCTGATAAATATATTAAATTTACCAAAACATATACAAAGAATCAACCAAAGAAATTAATTAAAAATGATACTTAAACTTAAAACATTATACAACCTCCATTAGCTTGTCTTACACAAGAACAAGTACATTATCATACTGTACATCAGTGTAGCTTTGGCAAATTTCAGAATACGTGTGGACAGGATTGAAGTTAAGACGTGTATTAATCTATCCCTCAACCATACTCCATTCTAAATCAATGGAACAGGACACCAATCCAAACACAAAAAAGAATTGATGGACCCTAAATTCCATTTTTTCTTGCAGAATATGTAAAGCATGAAACTTACTTGGCTGGGATGACTGGAGATGGGTGGTGGGTGATAGTGTCCGGTAGCTGGACAGAACCAAATTCCGAGACAGCGGAGCTAAGGGCAGTCTCATCCAGCTGTACTGACACGTGGTTCACCGGCTGAACATTCTTCAAGCTGAAAGAAGTCATAAAGTTGTGATGGTCAATTTGTGTACACGAATCACAAATGTAATGGAGAGATGGCATTAATATATAAAACACAGATGCTATACCTTGACACTAGCTGCAACAGACTACATTTGAGATGTGCTGATACCGATACTCATCCCAAAGGTGATACCATTACCGATACTTTATAGTTCAGCGGACTCACCCACACTGGAAAGGTCTATATACTAACCAGTAGGCATGAATCATTGCTTAGTGCCAGTCTTAATTTTCCTTTGTTAACTTAACTTATTAATTTAAGCTCTTACTCATTACATATATACTTGGCTAGTTATTAAAACTCATTCTGTTGCTAATAGCACTAAGTTGACAACTCTGTTTCTCAGTCCACACTTGAGGGTTGTACAACTGCCAACTCATGATTACTTTATATGTATTGCACTGTACTGTGGTTGTGCATGTTATCTAGAAGTTAGAACTTCAATATTGTGACTATTGTCCAATATTAAGTCTTGGCTCTTTAGATTTGTTCTTTATTATTAGTTTTGCTCGTTATCTTAAACTTAACCCTTAGGCCAATGGGTGACGTTCCAGAACGTCCGACCAGCGCGCCCCGGGTGACGTTCCGGAACGTCCGCCTATTTTATTTTCGTTGGGGAGGGGGGAACTTAATTTGTCCTCGATTTATCCCCGCAGGGGAGGGGGGAGAGGGGGTTACTGCCAGCAGCACCCAAACCCGAGGCTTAAGGGTTAAAGACACTAAGTTGTTTATCAAATTCTTATATCAATATTCTAGATCTATACTGAAAAAAAGAAATTTGAATTATTATGTGAATTTTACTTATACTAAAACTATTGATTTTATTAATATCACCATGTCAGTCAAGAATTTTATGAATATAAGTAAAATATGCCAAAGGTTGGGGGATGCAGTTTCCCGACAATTCCAGAATGACAGTTTCATATAGTACCAGTACTGTACATAATACACAGTCTGTTTTGTTTGTTTGCTGTGCAAAGATACAGTTTTGATAATAGAGTTGAAATTTGAAATAATGGTTACTCATGCATGCCAGAAGTGTAATGAAGGTGGAGTTTGGGGGGTTGCTACCCCACCCCTAAAGGTGGAACCACCTTAAAAACACAGCCACAGTTTTTAAGACAAAGCTGAAATTTGGTATAAATGATTCCGAGAATGCTCTGAGAATATAAATTGGGGGTGAGGGGTTGACCATACTAATAATTGACCCAACCACACTATACATAATACACTAACTTACCACTCCATGTCATCCACTTTAATCTTGGCCAGGGTACTGGTATCTGTTGGAGAGCAGCGCTCTAAAAGGTCGCGTGTGGCTACAAGTGCTCCTTTACCATGCATTAGGCCAGCCTGTTGAGTTCCAAGTAAACAAGTCTGAAGGGCAGTGACAACCTGAATAAAGAAACATACAAATAATGTACAGTAAATTTAAAAATACAAAATGAAATGAAGAATTTGGTTAAACTCAGCATGTGATATAGCAAGCACAAGAAATCCAATCAAAATCCTATAAGTACACTAGCTAGAGAAAGGATCTGCAAAGTTGGGTCCACTGGATGTCAAAATGAACACTACAACTCCTGTTGTCTCGGTAGGGTTGTCAAAACCCTTCATCTGTTCTCATATTGTCTTGTGAAAAATTTAGCAGATACTTTTTGTAGTGAGTGTACCTCATGTATAACATACTATAGCACTCCTTTCTCAATTATCTTTTCCACTCACACAAGCAATGTCTCAGTCAGTTTGGGGATAAAGTGTATCAACTCACTCAGTCCACCTGAATGATGTTCTTCACCTCTCACTAACAATACAGGGCTGCTTTTTACCCCTACGTAAATTCTCTTTCAACACCATCAAACTTAGAAATTACAACAACTTGTATTAATAATGGGTACAGCTTCCAGTCTGTGCAATGATTTTACGATATCCAACAGTCACTCATGCACCACAATGCCTCAATCCTAAATCGAGGCACCCCGATTGATAGTGACGAATCAACCAATGGCGCCCAAATCAGATTCTTGTTTCAACAGGAAGCCCGACTCTTTCTCTACCCAATAAAGGGTTTATTCGTCATCCTTCGACAGAAGGATTGAGGCATTGTGGCGCATGAGTGCCTGTTGGATACCATAATATCATTGCACTATCGTCACTATTCTTCATCCTTCAAAAGAAGGATGATTAACAAACCCTGTACATATTAGGTAGAGAAAGAGTCGGGCTTCATGTTGAAACAAGAATCTGATTTGGGTGCCATTGGTTGATTCATCACTATCAATTGGAGCACCTCAATGTTTCATAACCTGGCTTACAGTGGTTTGGAAAATAAATCTCATTAGTATTGTAAAACTAATCTCTTTAAAAATGAGAACAGTCAAATTCCTTCACAAATATTGTACCCCAATTTAACCTATCCATATAAATATTCTGAAACAGTAGCCGCTATAAAATATCTGTATTCTTAAGTATCCAGTTGGTATGTAACTCGAACTAAGACAACCTTGCATCACTAGATCTTCTCAAATTATAGAACAACAATTAAATATAACTACTGTACTTGTAAAACCATTACAAGTTGCAACATAAACCTATACAGTACTATACTGTACTTACCTCCACCTGCCGCACCAACTGTCTCTCCCTCACTCTTAGTGACCCAACATGTTTCTCAACAACCTCATGGATTTCATCTTTAACCTGTAAATATTTCATTGTTTTTATTATCACCAGAACTTCCAATATACAGAACATGGTTCTAGACATAAAAAAAAAATTCTGGGTTCATCTTTAACAATGTATTAACTGCAAGAATCAAAAACAAATGTGCTAAAAAAGAGTCTTGTCACAGCATCTCTGAGGCTACAGAAATCTTGAAAACCTAAAAGGAAATTTATAATGGTAATACTGTATTACAATAATATGTTAACAGGAGTATCACACATGAAACTGTTCAGCTGAAAAAAAATATCCTATACAACTCAGGATGGAACATACCTCCAGCCATTCTATTCATCAGTTCTGACATCTTCCATCATACACAAAATACCACAGATCCAAATTTTGATCAAGCCAAAATATCCCTCTTGAATTTTTTGTATATAATTTTCTTAACTAGAATCAAAGGCAAAAGCACACACACACACATTCAATAACACTCATTCATAATTACTGTTTAAAGTATCTGAAAATTTTTTACTTTTCTTAAGTTCGAGTTCTTTACAACATAGAAGTACTGTAGCTTGAAATACTTAGTGATCAACAAATTCAAATGCCTTAGCTGTAAATTACAATACTATACAGTACAGTAATTTGAAGACTGCCCTTTACAAGCAGCCAAGGAATCAAAAAATTTTTTTTTAATTAACTAAAGGAAAGACTTGTTCTTGATTTAGCAATAAAGAAGCCATTTCCAGCATTCTATATCCTCCACTACTTGAAGCAAATGGCCAAAACTACCAAATAAAACAATGACTACATTTTCAGCAAGTAGCCAAGACAAAAGTGTACTGATAACTAGCCTTCACCTTGACAGTCTACACGCTGACAAGTAGCTATAAAGATAAAGAGTAAATATTTAATGAGAGAATAACCAGATGTTTGGGATCCAGCAATAAAATATGAAATGCATGACAAATAAAATAATCTAGATCTCAAAATATTAGATACTGTATATCCAGAAAATAGAAAATAAAATATAACAGCTTTGAAATGCTCAATCTCTTAAAAGACTATCAAAAAATGCATCCAACATCAAAACATACTCTGGTTAGATATTTTCCTCCAATATGTAGCTCAAGAAAAATAAAAGAGATATCACCTAGACAACAAATCATTGTAGCCTTGACAACAAAATTATCAAATTTTATCTTGAACTATAAATAATCATCAGAACTACTCAATGTGTTCCATGTCAGTGAACTACTATACAGGATACTTTGTAATCTAATCTGTTTATGATAACCATGACAAATACACAAAGGGCATTGACTTATCTCAGGCTTTTATTAGCAAGTACTTCTCAAGCAAATGAAGATAATATGAAATGTCAACTTATTTTCATTCAATAAACTACTGTCTTAAAACAACCCTACATTTGATAAGCAATTCCTAATACCCTGTAAATGGAATAACAGAACATATGGGATTAATTGAAATAGAGACTGGGCCGACTCCCAAACTCCAGTTTTTCACACAATACTGACTTAATACCTATGTTGTAGTAAAAATAACATCAAAATTTTATGATGGTATGCACACAATTAATATTTAAGAGAAATACAGTCGCCAGGTTAATGTCCATTCAAATAATGGACTCAACTCCCCCCCCCCCCTCTTCCCACGCTCCCTGGCTCCTCCCTTTCTGAGAAATGTTTGGGTGAAAACACTAGATTTTAAGGTATAGAAATAAATAATACCTCAGACTAAAGTTAGGATAATATAATTGACATTGCTGGACTCCTTGCAAGGCCAAGAATATTTTGATTATAAATGTCATATATTTTGCACAAAAGATAACATTTTGGCTTTGTAATCAAAATTCTTAAATTAGATCTAAAATTTGTATGTCTAATGCAAATTCCATTATGTTTATATTTAAAATAATCACAATCTTATAAGAATTCCAGCAATGTAAATTATATTCTGGCCGGGTAATTTATATGAATTTTATGAGGTAAAACAAATATCTTCAGTAAATAAACAAATTATTATTCACCTAGACACTATCTGTCAATCAAAATACCCCCCCCCCTCTTCCCAGCTCACTGCGTCCCTCCCTCCCTCCCCCTCACCCCCCACCTTCCCTCCCTACCAGAGAAATGATTGGGAGAAAACAGTATACTATTTACAATTTTAGTAATAAATAATACCTCAAACTAAAGTTAGAATAATATAATTGACATTTCTGGATTCCTTGCAGGTCAGGGAATATTTTGAATGTAAACTTCATATATTTTGCACAAGATAAAATACAGGTTGTACCTCTCTAGTCCGGCATTCTGTGGTCCGGAAACTCCAGTGGTCCGGAACGATTTTAGTTTGTCCAATAGGTAGATAGGCAGTTTTTTTTTTTTTTTTTTTTTTTTTTTTTTTTTTTTTTTTTTTTTTTTTACTTATCTGAATTATTATTATTATTACAGGAGTATTAAATTTTTGCCCCTCAGGCCCTAATGTGGGTCAGTGACCTATTCCCGGGTGGGCTAATCCCCTTAAAAAAAAAGCCGCGGGAAATTAAGGTTTGTTTACATCCGGCAGTTCGGCTGCTATCTCTCTCTCTGCTTGTCTATACAGAGTACAACATTTAACCCTTCAATATATATGAGCAGTAAATAAGTGTTGCTTTCATATTCTTATGTAGAGTAATGACGATATATTTTCACATGTGCGCACTTACATACGAGCAGTCTCACTTTTTTTTTACCATTAATGGTTAGCTACTTATATTGTTCCATTTATTAACATTAAATAACATTACAGGTACTTCAAGCAACCATATTCATTTTTTACATTAATTTTACTACAGCTAAACTCAGGGTCTTATTTTCTTCAGTTTTATATGTAGAACCAATCAGTCACTGGTTTCGTAAGCTTTAACATAAACAATGCCGGCAGCGGTCTCGTCTCCTCTAATATTCCACGTATTATTAATAAATTGTATTGTTAATTTTGCACACACGTACATTAATTCAATAAAAACAAATTCAGAAACATTAATTAAAATATATATGAACAGTAAATAAGTGTTGCTTTCATATTCTTATGTAAAGTAATGACGATATGTTTTCACGTGTGCGCATGCGCACTTACATATGCGATCTCTCTTTTTCTTTACCATTATCGTTAGCTACTTCTATTGTTCCATTTATTAACATTAAATAACATTACTTAAAACAACCATATTAATTTTACTACAGCTACAACCAAGGTCTTATTTTCTTCAGTTTTATATGTAGAACCAGTCAGTCACTGGTTTTGTAATCAACGAAAACAATGCTGTGTCATTTCCTCATGTGTTTTAATTTTCTACGTATTATTAATGAATTGTATTGCTCATTTTGCACATATAAACATTAATTCAATAAAAAAGACATTCAGTAATAAACAATAATGAATCTTTTGTACATAAGAGAAATGACGCTGTTTAAACGATTATGCACGTCGTCTGCACGTTGGCGGGCCGTTCAAACCCGTCGAAATTCAAGTTTCCGCCGTCAAAATTTTTATTTATTTATTTTTTTGTGTTCCAATAAAATACGTTAAGAATTAAAAACTCGCGAAATTTGAGAAGCTACTATACGACATTTAACCCTTCAATATGTCTTCAAAGAGACCATGACGCAGAGAAAGTGGTGCTAGTGCTTCCAGGCATAAGCAAAAGTCACTATCTATCCAGGAAAAGGGTGAATTTCCATGGTCCGGCACCGGTCAGGTCCCGAGGTTGCCGGACTAGAGAGGTACAACCTGTATTTGCTTATTTTCATGATATCCTTAAATTGCATCTAAAATTTGTATGTCTAATGCAAATGTTAAGATGTTTATATTTAAAATGATCACCATCTTGTAAGGATTCCAGCAATGTAAATTACATATTTTATGAGCTAAAAACATATATATCTTCAGTAAATAAACAAATCATACTTCACCCGCGTAAATGAGTAAATTCACCGTGTAAATCGTTCATTATACTGTATATGCCACTTTAAATCGACACATTCCTAATACAAATGAAGATTTACAAAGACTGTACAGCAATTTTCTATTCATTTGTGTCTGTTAACATCACTGGCAGCAGTGTTGCCAAGTTAGACTTGCCACTACACACATCCACTTTGCCCAACAAACTGCATAGCTGTAGATAGAATTTAAATGGCAGTGCCAGATCATCCAACCATATACAGTACTCTGTTTTCAGAAGAGAGAAATCATAAAAATTATCTTCAATGGTGAAATATTTACAAGTTGCTGGTTCAGGCACACTACACATCTAAATAATACAGCACTGGCAGCCTTTATAGCACTTTAACATTCTAATTCGTCTTTCTCAACCCACTTTTCAAACGTTGTTCTTTATTAACTGCATAGAGTATAGAATTCATATACAATACCTGTACTGCACACCTGTCAAGATGAAGTGGTTGGTTGAGCACTTGTAGAATGATTCTAGACTGTCATTACACAAATAAATAACATCTCCCAAAGATACCAACTGATAACATATTATACTTGAGCATGTTTGTCAATGAAGCATGTACAGGTGCTGTATTGTATCTGCATGCCATAATTCAGTCACATTACAGTACTGTACTTATGAACAGCAATATGATTTTATATATTTTTCATCTACAGTATTATATTTTACAACTATCTTTACAATAATACAGTACACTTGACTTATACTGTACAGTACAATACCTGTACTAAAATAAAAGGTAAAACTGTACTTTATGACACTAACTCTTGAGAAGGAGCAACTTTAGGACAATTTTCTATAGAAAATTTTCTTACCACTTGAATATAATACCTGTATATTAAAAAAAATTTAGATTTTTTTCTCACTAGTTTTAAGTACAGTACTGTAATTCCATGCAAGTGTGCATGATGCCATGTTTGTTCCCCTCCTTGTGCAAATAATTCACTGTAGGTGCGTGTGATCCATGTAGAGTACTGTACAGTACAGTATATGCTGATAACATTATCGGAAAAAAAATTCAAGTGCTTTCGTGTATACACTATTTCACATCTCCTGGAGACAGCAGCTGTCCACCATGTCCTTATGTTGACAATAAGGCAAGATAACATAACACCCCAACCAACCCTAACAAATTTAACCAAAAATTAGACATTTCCACCCCATGATGGATACGTTAGGTAGGTAGGTTTATCTTATCTACAATATACCACCTCTGTTGCTGCAAGACAAAGGTGTACACCTGTCAGTAAAGTACAGTAGATTATTAATATAAGAAAGATCTTATAATCATCTACATACAATGTATACAAAAATATTCTAAAGTTGTTACCAATTTCCATATTGGTTAAGGTGTTACTGTATTTTGTTATTAACAGTTTGTACAGAATGTTTACTCAGCGTTAAGATCCCTTCACCAAATGTGGTGACAGCATCTGAAAATTTAGTTCCTCAATGACACAGTTAATGAAAAGTAAATACAACTCAAACAGTTATTTAATACCTTTTGTGCATTTTCCTGGAGATGTTGGCGATATTCTTCCACCTTGATAAGAGTGTTCTCCACAAAGGCCAGCTTCAGTGCCAAATCGAGTTCCAGCCTCTCTAGAGACATCTGTATAAAAAGAATGGTTACAGCAATTGATAAAACTTCCACACTTCCTAATTACAGCATAGTATAAAGTAGTGTATACAATGCATTCATTTATTAATACAGTACAGGTTTGTCTTAATACCAATTCTTTATTATCCTAGCCAAGAGCAGAGTACTGTACATTAAGACAATTTAAAAGATAACATACCATTAATAAACTGAGATTTAATTCAATTGGTACTAGCCAAAAAGTATCATCACTACTATTTGGTCTTGTTTAACACTAGATCGGCTGTCACGCTTTTTTGACCTTTAAGAAAAAATGAGCTACAGATTTTTTTTTAGAGAAATCTAACCAATTACATAGTCAGTTTAAAAGCAATTACTGCATTTCATATTACAGTAAAGTAAACCCTCGTTATTCACGAAGATTAGGTTCCAAGGAAAGTGCGAATAGGCAAAACCGCAAATAACAACTTACAGTATACTACCTTAATGCACTCCTGTTTACCTACACAGGTACTAAACAACCGACCAGCTGCGGCAACACTAGTCCCCTCTTTTAACTTATCTAATAATTCAACTTTCTTTTTCAGGGTCATCACTGACTTCTGCCTTTTACATTTCACTTCACTAGCACTGACACTAGGCAGTCTTTTAGGGGCTATTTCACACAGAAACACTAAAGTTTTGAGAGTACAACACGAGATGCTGTGTCACAGGCAATGGTTGAGTGCAAAAAGAGGGAGAGGAGATGCTACGGGTGCATGGGGTGACTCGTTGCGCTGCAGGAAAAGGCTCGCAAGCTAGCCACCATTTGCTTGCCGCAAATGGTCGAAATCGCAAACCCACGAATGGCAAGGGTCTAATGTACAGTATATGGATATTTATGCAACAATATACAGTACTGTACTGTATAATGTTTCAGCTTTATTGAAGACTTCCTTTACATTTGTTTTTCTTTTAAAAATGTAGTTCCAAAAGAAATTATTCTGAAATCAAAGATGCGGCCCATAAAAATAAAATGTACACCTAGCATGCTTAGCATTAGCTGTGTAAGTGTGAAGAATTCCCCATAACTTTCAGTGATCAGTACAGTTGATATAAATACTGTACACCTTTTGACAACCTTGCCAGCACACTTACCACATACTAGCTCCTTGCATACAAAATAAATACCGGGGTATCCATTGTTTTATTTCCATTACACATTGAGATTTGGCATTGGCATTACTTTTGCTTTACTGGGCAGCTTTCATAGTTGTCATCACAGCTCTTTTCTTCTCCAAGGCATTACTACAGTGGTTTTAGATAATCTGGCATGTGACATACGAGTCTCTACGAGTTGTGGCCAGCTTCAGAATGAAATCTAGTCGACTGATATTTTTGCCTGCTATTTCTTTGTACAGAATTTGAAAGTATTGATAGCTGCAAGATCTAAAATGTTATAGAATACTTGCACTGGCCATCATCATGATGCTTTGATTGAGTACTGGCGTACCATTTGATCTGAAACATCAACACCATACAGTCAAGGATGTTAAAACATTGTCAGCTGTGACATTTCTACTTCATCCATGAATGGAGCAAGAAAGCGAATGACAACGTTTTCAGAGTGACTCAATGCCCAGACATGTTTCATCTTTGCCCAAGATATGGAAAGCCATTGACAAGATGCTCTAACTTGACATCTACTGCAAGCCAGAATTTTATACCAAATTTGTCAGGTTTGTTAGCCATATCCTGAGTGAATGGACACCTAGCTTTTGTGGGAAAACAGCTGTTCATGAACAGTTATGTTATCACCAGCTTTATAGCAGACAATGCAGTTCTGAATGAAGGAATTCCACACTCAGTTATGTAAGCATGTTTGATTATACTGTAGGAAATGTAATGAATGATACAACAGATCTATAAAACCATTATAATAATGTAATTATAATCAAAGAATCAAAAAGTAAGAAATAATATCAATTCATAAAATTGGTCAATATGACATCTTCAGCCGTTCTAGGTACAGTACAGTTTAACAGTCCGTTTCTCAGACACATTTGAAACTAGGGGTGTACCAAATTATATCTTATATCAACACAACATTTTAAGAAGTCATAAAAGTTAGGGGCCTCTATATTAAGAACTATAGTAATGGTGGGGCAGACAGTTAGCACCCAAAAGCATTTATATATTCTGTTCAGTTTCTACAGTTGTTCTTTGGATATTAACTAATAAAATGGACAAGACAACTTTATATTTTAATAACATTATAAGAATTTTTTTATCTTTCTCTTTCAACCACATAAATCACCGGTAGTGGGCATGGCATTAAGGAAGAGGGAAATTATGGGGTAATACACAAGGGAAAACCTGACCATATGACATTAAAATGATGTTTCTACGTGCTTTGTATTCCAAAAAATCTGCCGTGTCCCCTTCGTATTGTTGTCCACTCTGTTTGTTTCAGTACAACAAACAAGCAGCTCGGTCCAAGTGTACAGCACTTTCACGGCCACAAAAAAACGTTAAATTAAACCATGCCACTTCAAGATAGTTCCTCCCATTGTTACCAGCTATCAAATTAAGTTCTTTTTGCTTAATTTATGCAGAGCCCCCAGCTAGGAAGTTAGGTAAGGTTAGGTAAGTTAGTTTGTTTAGTTGGGTTGGTTAAGTCAAGTTCAGTGCATTCTCATTTTCATGTTCAGTAGCAAACAAATATTATCTCCAGAAATTTTGGTTCAATTCTATAAGTTATTTCTGGTTAGCTCTATCCGTCTCCTCTAGCTATGCTTATTTGTTAATAGTTTTCAGACACATTCATATAATGCATAAAATACAAAGCTGGGGGTTAGGAAAAGCAAAACAAATGTGAACTTATGGCAATACAGTATATACTTTAAACCCTAAAAGAAAAGCCAGCTGTTTAGCGATAGTATTGGTCAGGCTCTGCCAACTGTGCTAAACCCTACTGACTACAGACAACATAATATTATATACTGTACACTGATAAACAAAAACTTGAAAAAAATAAATTATTAAATGCTTGGCTGGTTTATGCCTTCTGTGGTCATAAATAATTCAGCTCTTAAAGTCTATCACCAAACAGTCAACCAAAAATGGTCTTTCTAAGGAGATTAAAAACATAATTTTTGGTAAATTTGCATTGTCACACCATTCACATTTAGCAAGTAAAAAATACATTTTTTTTAGTGTAATTGTGTGTGTTTAGACCGAATATGACCTTCATTTTTGGCGGAAACTAGCCGGGGGTTTTTTGCGATTTTTTTTCGTTTGACGTTTTCCGAAAAAAAAGTGGCTAAGCGACTAAAAAATACACAAAAAAAACACTAGAAAAACAAAAACCTAACCTAACTTAACTGACTCTCACCATATGATGGAATCACCTATTTCTTACCTTATTGGCCTGGTTCTTGTTCGTCGTTGCATTCTGGGATTCTTACACAACGCCACATATGTTGGTCTTTGCAATATTTACATTCAGTCTTGCTCTTAGTACACTTTTCTGGGGTTGGAAGAACCATGCGATCGAAAAAATGCTATAGTTTCCTCGTTTTTTTTCCCAAAAACTCGCAATCAGCTCCATATACTTTGTGATATCCATCGCAGACTTCCATGGTAGGAACTGAACTTGAATTTCAAAATATGAGACCCAAAATAAAACTCGATTTTGATTGGGCCAAATATACTCTGAATTAAACCCAAAACCATTTTAATTGGTTCCAAAAGCAAAAACGCTTTTGATTGGCCACGTAATGTGATAGATGCAAATTATCTTATAATTAGACGTCTTATTCGAATATGATAATAGATTAGTGGTAGGAATGAACGGTGTGTAAACGCAATAATACCTAATTTTTATCACTTTATTTTTTTCCAGCTACCCCAGAATTTTCTGATAACAACAAGCATCTAAGTGGAGAGCCTATCAAAAGATATAAAGAAAATAGTGGTAACCCACCGTATATATTGTACTGTTGACTTCTGGCATCAAAGGTATTTACTTCTACCCGACACCGGCACTCAATTAATATAAATTCCAGTTTATACAACACACCCAAAATTTTCCCACTTAAACACTCCAAAAATAGAAGTTGCGTTGCATAATACCTTCTTATTCTTAAAACAACAGCATTTGAATATCATTAATTACGTCCTTCCATATTTACTGCTAGAAAGCATCAAGGAAGGTGAAAGTATGAGGTTTCATAAAAGCATATTTAAGGTTTCATCCTGTTTGAGGGTTATGATGTAACCCTTTTATTAACATTGGGTCGCTCAAATAAGCATGGATCATTTTATATTCAATAATGTAGTTGTAAGCCCTCAGTAAATCCATCACTGATTTAAAAAACAAACTCAAGTACTTCTGTTTAAAATACATATACTTTTATATCGGTCATGAAACTTTTTTACTAAACAGCTGATTGCTGTCGGCCATGGAGCAGTTCCCGCCCGTCACGTAGCCTTGGCCACCCTCTTATATTCCACTTTTAACAATATAATATACCAAATAAACCCACCCATTGGTAGTACCGCTAGCATAACTCCCACTAGTAAAATTTTTAGAAAAGGTTGTCATGCAGGAGACTAGAAACACAGCGAATTAATGTAAATACCTTCTGTCCTTAGCAACAGCACTTCTCCCTACAACGACTCTGCCGTTACTGAAGGGGTGGACGGATGGACGGTGGCGCCGCTGCCTGCGGGGAGAACCAATAATATGAATCAACACAATAAAACAACTTCAAACGAACTTGATTCAAACACATCGTAGTAATCCCTTTCAAGAACATTTGTTGACAGATAGATAGATTGATAAACATATATATATATTCAGTAAAAAAATTACAATATGCATACATGTTCACATTGATTCAGAGCCTGTGAGTGGTAAAGTAACACACACACGCTATTACTGCTCTGTACACACACACACACACACACTACTACTATTCTGTATACACACACACACACACACTACTACTGCTCTGTACACACACACACTACTACTGCTCTGTATACACACACACACACACACTACTACTGCTGTGTATACACACACACACACACACTTCTACTGCTGTGTAGTGGTTTCGTTATTTGTACATACACACCGGACCTTCTTGTGGAAAATGAAACCCATGGCAGAAAACATCCATCAATGATAGCGAGTGGTATCCCGTTCATTTTTTTCCATGACACCACCTAGCTTGTTTACCGAGTAGCCTTGATAACTTGTAGAACTGTAAAGCATTACTTAAAGCCTCTGATACAAGGGCAATATATATATATATATATATATATATATATATATATATATATATATATATATATATATATATATATATAATCATTGTATTGATTTCTCAAACTGTACTATACTACCGTTTGTCTTTGAATAATCAATGCATAGCTTTTATTTATTTATTTGATTTCATAAAAGCTTTAAGGATTCGCTGACCTTAATCAAAGTAAATTTGTCAAAGACAAGATAACCTTTGGTACACTATAATATTATTGATAGTTTAGGTTTACATCAGGTTTGTTGGTGCTCAGCAAGAGGTAAACTAAAGAATAGACCTGCATCTAGTGGTTCAGGGGCGGTTGCTGCTTCGTATCAGTTTAAGCATAACAAAGAAAATGTAAATCTAAAGTGTAATTTCATGATACACTATAGAATTTTTAAGTTAAATCTTGTTTTCTTTTTAATTCCTGTCATCTCATTAATAACACCAAGAGTTTTCTAATTCTCTTACAGACCTTAGTTGTTGAAGAGCAATAATAAAATCATAACTTTAATAATGTATGCCGTAAAACACGTTTCAATAAAGTATTGTCACTCTCGAGACTCTGGACGATGATCTGAATTGGAGAATAATTTATTATAAATTACTTACCGTGAGTTAATGACGTCTGCAATATTATCAGATATGAGAAGAGTATTAGCAAGTGTGACCCTGTTGAACGTAGCAAATTTTCACCTGAGGCTTGGGCAGTACACTATTTTTTTTTATAGTACATGTACTGCTCACTGGACCTCTATGGAGACCGTTTTGTCTGAACTATCCAGTATGACTATATCGATTGATTATTATTTGAAAGCCAGCTTCATTGTTAGTGACGTTGATTCCATAGATATTGTGTGAATAAAATTGCATTTCTGAGTAACGTTTCTACAGGAAACCTGATTTTTTGGAAGCATTCTTTACACTTTTAGAAATGCAGTAATTGTAGGATGAATGACTAATTAAAGTAAAACCAAGAATATTGTAGTGACCAGATGATCTACTTTTCCTTATAATATGTATTCATGATAACCTAATTTTATTTAAAGGCTATTTACTTTATCAATATAACGCTGACATTGAAACAGTTGCCTTATATAGGATATTAAATATCTTCTCTTAACAATTGTTTTATTCAGTACATAAATACACGTATACACTTCAATGAGCAAGTGAGAGTATAGCGAATAACGTCATCATGGTTTTATAATTTTGGTTTAGGGCAGCGAGGAGTAGTTCCCGGTTTGTGTGGGTACACACCACAAGCCAACCTATCCTTGCCACACGCTCCCCATAACTCGTACAGGAAGTAGGAAGTAGTCCTGTAAACTTAAAAGACACTGCACAATAAAAAAAAATAACATATTACTTCTCTGCATCAACTGAGCACTTCTTTTTTATGACTCGTCTCTGAGTTCTGATGGATAATTACATCAAAACTTACTGTGCAGTGTACTGTTGTCCGGGTGTTTGGTGTCTGTACAAAGGTTAATATTGGTAACACATATAACGATAAACAACACGGATTCTAGTATTTTTCAGCTCGTTCCATCCTGCAAAAATAACATTAGAAATAGAGCTGCCTCGACATTTCAAGAGTAGTTATATAAGCCAATGATTCTCATTAAATCATGTCATTTTAGTAATATCAATGTTGTTTAGGACTTCTAATTGTGAATTCAAAGCCCTATCGTCGAATTTAATTGAATAAACTTGGACTCCAACACTGCACGCGAAAGTTTTGTTGAGCTGAGTCTTATTACAAAGCCAGAACAATGTAAACAAAGCTGATTGACATAATGACAGATCCCTTCATCTTTTATCCTCGAGCTCTTTTCTTTAATATGTTTTCACAGGAATACTTAATATATATATATACAAATAGTTTATCCATTTATTTCATCCTTGAGTTTTCTTTTTCAGACTTCCACAGGAATCTCTGTCACATCCACCCCATCCACCGTGTAGTCTGTGATGGCGCCCTCAGCTAACAATGGCTTGTTTGCCTCCACTTTCAATGTATGCATAAATGACTTGACGACTGCCCAGGTGTAGAGGGAGATGATAAAGTGTGTGATGGAGAAGAGAAGGTGCGGGAGTGTGGTGAAGGGCAGTGGCACCAGTAGGAAAGCCAGGATGACAATGTTGTGCACACCCGTGAAGGCGACCCACCCCTTCAGCAGCGGCACAGAGTCCTGCATGAACGATAACATTAAGTGTTGGGTGTACAGAGGAGGTCCGCAGCCTACAGTACATTACACGATACTACATTACATGGTGTGGACAGATACTGAAAAATCTAGATATTTATTTGAAATATATCACATCAAATCAAGTGATAGAATCTGTATGAATGTTTCCGAAATAGTTTTACCAAATTGAATATCCAGAGCAAAACAGAATAAAAGTATTTCAAAAGTAATATTCATTTGTGGTCAGTGAAACTAATAAGAATAATTTCACTTTTAGTTCATCAAAAAGTCACACTAATATCTTGACGAGAATTACATTATCTCTCAGAAATTAATATATCTTTTAACTCTGTATCACCTCATTACTTGGAATAATTAAAAGAAGATAACCAGGGAACAAATTCTCTGAGGCTTGTTTGAGTGATTATCCTCTTGACTGGTTGAAGATGGGAGAATGCAGGTAACTGGTTAAATACAACACAAAAACAACTCCTAAAGTGGCATCAAAAGTATTCTGTGACTATTAATTGAACACTTCTTAGCACCAGTTTGAGCACAAAATTAATGTAGAAAATCTATTGAAGAATATTTTGTCTGGGTTCCAACATAAAATATAGATATGATAACATTTACGTAAGACCTCACGAGACCCCTTTACACTGCACAATTGGCCATGCGGGTACAGGTGACGCCATTTGTACACAGTTTCCACATATTTGAACCCAAACAAAACGGCTAAAAACGTCCCCTGGCAGCACTAAGCCCCTTTTCCCCATCACCTACCCCCGCCACTGTGTCAAAACCTACGACTGTTGTATCTTGGCGCGAAATGTCAACATTCTTGAGTCTTATTTAGTTTTTAAAGCTTCTGTCTAATATGGTTTGCTTGCTGGTCAACACAAAGAGCTAGTCATATTCTCTCTGCTCTTCGCTAAATATTAAACTTTATATTGTTCGCTTCTGATCATATAATTAAGCTTGTGAAGAGATGAAACCTATGTACAGTAGTGATCCATCTAATAATATCATTTTATTTCACGTTTAGCATTGGAATCATGAGTTATGAGGTGAAAGAAGATTATTAGGGAATGAAGAAAAGTGGTGAAACTGAAATACAGCAGGACTAGAAAGAATCTGGGCTCAACCAGATCGCTTCATCTTATCTATTGTTTTTTATCTTTGTTTTGCTCCCTCGGGTCGTCAGACCTTTGTAGTATTGGTTTATTTATATGGTGCTGCTTATTGTACAGGGCAGTGGCGGCTCGTGCATAGGGCTGCAGAGCTGCAGTCCCCCCAGACACTCACTGCCAGGCGTATGATTCCTTTAGAGAGACAGCTGAATAATACACTACCAACAAATATCTCATTTTATATGTTATTTAATTATTTTCAATACGTTGCTAAGTGAATTTTCATTAAAATCAGACCAAAATTTAAGTTACTTTCATAGTTGCTGTCAATGCTGTACGATTCATGTCTGTTATTAATTGGCGCCGCCGCCGCACTTGAAGCAGCTCAGTCTCGTACAACGTGTGGACGGTGTGGTTAAATCGTGCTTTCTTTAATTACCCTTTGACAATGGAAAATCGAGTGAAGTATTTGCAAAACATAAACTTTTCCCAGCTGACATTAAATGAAAAGACTGAAATCAAAGCAAGAGGAAGACCTACACCAGTTTTATCCATTCAACAGAACAGTACAAGCAGGAACAAAGAATATACACGCCAGTTTAACATCAGTGTTTATCAGAAATGTGAATGGCTCTGTGGTTGTGACGAGGCAAATACTTTATTCTGCTTTCCATGCTTATTGTTTGGTGGGGACTCGGCATGGACGAAAAGTGGTGTGACTGACTTGAGGCATTTGCCACAGAAAATAGTGAAACATGAGCGGTCAGCCAAACATATGAATAACATGATTAATTTATCGTTGCCCTGGGAATTCGTGGACATCAACTACAACTCATACCTGAGGTAGGTCAAATTTGTGTATCCTACTGTTGTGTGAGGCTTGCAGTCCCTCCATTTTATTTTTCACGAGCCGCCACTGGTACAGGGTGTCCATAAATGATTACCCTGATTAAAACGTGAGAGTATGCTGTTTTAGGGTAATCAATTATGGACACCCTGTACTTCTTACTTTGTATTTATATTTTTTTTAGCTGTGGTGGAGTTAGTGAATCCTCCCAGGTCCTTGTGTGGCTGAGAGGGTAGTCACATTTTTATTTTATTTTATTTTTTATTTTTTGCTAATGTATTAGTTAAATGTTAGTTGTATTAGTGTAGGGAGGAGAGGCCTGCCAGGTTCTTAGTGGAGCTGGTAGGTCACTCATCTTTTATTCTCTCTATTAATGTTTTATGTGTATATTGGGGCAGGAGATGGTTCAGTTCCTTTCTTTCTGGTGATTTAAACCAACCATGTTCTTGGATTTCTTCATTATCTATATTATTTATCCAGTTTTGGTAAGTTTCTGTGTTGAGTTCAGTCACTAGTTTTCTGGCTATCTATTCTACAAGAAGCTAACTATAATTATTGCAGTACAGTGTCATTAATTATATAAATGGTTTTCTCTGATTAGACTGTTAGTTTTACGTCTTATTTATTGGATTTGAAACTAATTCTTGATTTTTTAATGTTCCTAAATGATCTAAATCAAAGCAAGATATTTCTTCTGAATCATGTGGAATTCAGCGACCTTGTAAATGTTTAAGCTACGACAGGAAGGTCTTCATATTATTGTCAGTGACTCAACGCCATGAGCTGGCTCCTCTGTTTATCTCTATTTATAACATTCCTTGTACCCTCAGGATAAAGACAAAACGGTTAGGTTAAGTTAGGTTAATGGTTGCGACAGTGCAAATATCCCGGTAGACACAACCCCAGTTCGGTAGACCGCATACTATGGAGCAGGGCCGGATTAACCATGAGGCACTTGAGGCACTGGCCTCAGGCCTCCAGACTCTTAGGGGCCCCCAGATTCTAAGGATAAAAATATTTAGCTATACATGCAATTAAATGGTCAATTAGTAAGTAAGCCATTAACTATTTCGTACTTAATGTGTCCAATTGGATCATACATATACATTTTAGTGACTCGGTAGTGGCGTGTGGCAACTGTTAGTCTGTTCGACAACAGTAGCTGACGACACTCAGCTGACCCGGGACTCCATTGTGACGTACGGACGGTACGGTGCCAGACTTTCGTATAGGAGGACCATTTCAGGCAAACAATGATGTATATAACTTCAGTAATAAGTTATGAATGATCAAAGAATTATGTGAAGTGCAAAATAATGGATAATTTGGAAGGGAAATATGAGGAACGGGTATGTTTATATTGGATTATGTGGCAGGATGGATCACCTGGTCAGCTAACCATCTGGACAAGAAAAGTAGGTCGAATTAACCATGAATTAGCAAAGCAAGTTGATGTTGAATGTAAGTACTGGAAGTCTGTTGTACATCGAGTTACAAGGGTTATTGTATTTCTTTCCGAGAGAGGATTAGCATTTTGGGGAGAAAATGAAACAGTTGGCTCTTCCAAAAATGGTAATTTCCTTGGTATACTCGAACTACTGGCTCAGTATGACCCTTTTTTTTGTCAACTCATATAAAGACACATGCAAACAAGGGTAAAGGGCACACTTCTTATCTGTCATCAACAATATGCGAGGAATTAATGTCATTAATGGGTGCAGAGGTAATGAAATCAATTGTTCTCTCAGCGAAATACTTTAGCCTTTCCGTTGATTTGACACCAGATATTAGCCACTGTGACCAACTCACAATAATTATCCGCTATGTGACTGGAAATAGTCCGGTTGAAAGGTTAAAGACATTCCTTGATAACAAAGGTCACACTGGACGTGGTTTAGCTGAAACAGTCTTTGAATACTTGAAAGGTCTGGGAATTGATATTGCAAATTGTCGTGGGCAAACCTATGACAATGCTGCCAACATGACTGGTGTATATAATGGCATGCAAGCTGCAGTACGTGAAGTAAGTCCTCTGGCAGTCTTAGTGCCATGTTGTGCACACTCTCTTAACTTAGTCGGACAGACTGCTGTGAACTGCTTCACTGGAGCAGTCAAATATTTTGATTTGGTAAAAAAATCTGTCTTTCTCAGCTTCAGCAAATAGATGGCAAAAACTTTCAGGTGTGCTGAAAGAACAGCATCTTATTGTCGTAAAGCGGCTGGCAGATACACGTTGGTCTGTACACTGTGATGGTACACATGCTCTACTGTGTGGCTATAAATGTGTATGGGAAGTTCTTGGCACCATTGGTGAAGACATCACTCAAAATGCTGAAACACGGGTTACTGCAAAAGGACTTGCAGATGTGTTTGCCAAGCTTGAGACTGCAATCATGACCGAAGTTTGGGATTGCATTCTTACTCGTTTCAGTGCTACAAGCAAATCTTTACAGGATGACCGCATGGATTTGAATACTGCTGTCAAAGACCTTAAGTCATTGAAATCATTTGTTTTGTCTCTTCGAGATCGTTTTGGTGAATTTGAAGAATCAGGGGTGAAGAGGAGTAACAACAGTAACTATCAGTCTGAGGTTACGAGGGTTCAGCAGCGAAATCGCAGACTGGACTATTGAAACAGTTCTGTCTCCACGGGACAAGTTTAAGGTCAACACATACATTCCTATTTTGGATCAGCTTGTTACTTTATTAGATCAAAGTGTAGAGGCCTACCAACTTCTGAGTCAAAGATTCAATTTTTTGTCTAAAATTGGCTCAGATGACAGCAGTCCTGAAGCCATCCGTAAAGGCGCGCAGGAACTTGTCTGTGCACTCTGAAGATTTTGAGGCATCGCTCGGTGATGAACTAGTATAACTCACAATTTGTTTTACTGTGCCAAGATGAAAAAACACAAGAAGAATCAAATGAGTTGTTTATGTGTCGTATTATCAAAGATAAAGGACTGTCATCAACGTTTCCGGATGCAGAGATCATGCTGAGAATCTTTCTGTCATTAATGGTGTATAATTCAAGCGGAGAACGAACTTTCTCGAAGTTGAAGCTTACAAAAAATGAATTTCGTTCAGCAATGTCCCAGCCTCGTCTCCAATTTCTGTCTCTTATGAGCATTGAATTTTATATTTTGCGGAAGCTTAATTTTGATGATATCATTGATGAATTTTCAAGAAAGAAAGCTAGAAAGGTGGGTTGTTCAAGTTGCCAATAGTTGTGCATTTTGATTTTTGAATAAACAATAGTAACAATCAATTTAGTTATTTTTTGTTCTTGTTATTTATATATACCTTTAGGGTAGGGGGGCCCCCAAGCTGATCTGTGCCTCAGGCCCCTATTAAGCTTAATACGGCACTGCTATGGCGCACAGAGAGAGGAAAGAACATTTCACCGAAGATTTTATAGTTAAGAGGTAAGACGAATTAGTACCAATGAAAAGATTCCGTTATTTTAAGAGTTTAACTCCCATAGTATTAAACACCTTCCTTCGTCGATGGAGATTGTCGAGTTCATAAACATAGTATTGAAAAAAAAATATGAGTCCCAAAGGACACCGCACTAAAGCGCTTGGCGGCGAGGTGTGGCGGTAACACGAACTAATAATATTGGAATTTGATGGTGTTGCCGGTGGCTCTTCGTCAAAACGATCGTATTTTTTTGTATTAATGGATCTTTTCTATTAATAAAATTACTGAAAAAGAAAAATCTCAGTAGTTTTATAAACTATTTTACACTGTTGTCTTTATGGTCAGTATTATAAACTTTTCAAGAAACTTCTACCCGCCCACCTCACTTTAAAGTTGAAAAAGCCACAAGTTCTGAAAACTGTCAGGGTTAAACTTTTTTTTTCTGGAGTGAGAGTTGTGAACTCTTGGAACAATCTGCCAAAGAGTGTTGTGACGGCACCAAGTGTGAGCTTATTCAACACCAAACTTGACCAACACTGGCGCAGGTACAGATACATTTTGGAGCCAGTACATGCCTTGTACAGCACCTACCAACAATGCATAATGGTTGCCCCTCGTGTAACGAGGATGGCCGGCCCAAGGGCCACCTAGACGTGAATTTGTTTAAGCTGTAGAAGCTGTCGCCAACACAACAACCACACCCTGAGTTAACGAGTTACATGACCCAGAGTCAAGGAATAGTCCGAGAAGATCGGACAACTCGCCAACTGCACTGGCTAACCATTACCCCGGAACACAATCCGCAAATCGATTAACATCCAGATCCCCAATTATTGCTGGGTAGACAGAGGCAAATGGCGTAAAAAACTTGCCCATAGTTTCACCGTGCCTGGGGATCGAACCCGAGTCCATCCGCTTGCGAGGCGGGCATGCTGATGTAATGCTTAACAGAGAAGTGAATGACCGCCCAAATGCTATTAGTTATGAAGTAAGCACCTTTAAGATCGTTCCAAAAGTTTACATTTCTCACTCCAAAAAAGTTTGCCCTGATAGTTTCCTGAACGAGTGGCTTCTTCAACCTTAGATTGTGATCTCTGTCTTCCTGGTTTCTCTGGTTAGGAGGTTTCGTTTCGTCAGTTTTTTGCGTGTTTTTACCTCACAATTTCCTTCTATTTCAAATCCCTGCTCACTGTGCAACCAATATTGTTGTTGTTGTAGGAGTCATATCTCCACAACTACTCATTCCCGACGGAAATGAAGGTCAAATTTGTATGAAACACGATAAAATACATTATATAAACCTAGTTTCCAAAGTAATTTCCGTGCATGGAAACTTCTAAATATTTATCCTGCTCTATCTAAGTTATCCCGACCATCTCGCCAACCTTCCACAAAAGACTCTCTTTGGGGCGTGGCTTCATAAAAGTGTTGCAGATCTCTTGAAACTGAATGTCCCAATCACCCCAGACGAACCTATTAATGCCATTCCTCCTTGGCTGGATATATCAGTTCCTATTAATTACACTCCTGTTGGTAGTAAGCAAATGTTAAACACCAATGTGGTGAGATGTGTCACACTAGAAACTATTAACAGACACATAGAGAGTATTAAATCAAGTGAATGTTATGCTTTTACTGATGGTTCTGTGCAGACAAACACAGGTAGAACAGGCTGTGCAATTGTAATATATAAAGAAAAAGAGATGATAGTGTCAAACAAACAAAGGCTGAACAACTGGGCCAGCACAGCACAAACTGAACTAACTGGAATCTACTTAGCCACAGACTACCTCAAAGAAAATGGAGGTGGGGTGATATTCTGTGACTCTCAAAGTGCTTTGAAATCAATGAACAGCCCGTCAGGCTCTATGTCTAAAGTTGCATGTGATATTAAAAGGAATGTGATAACTGCCAATGAGAACAACTTTCGTATCGAATTTGTGTGGATTCCGTCCCATGTTGGAATCAGGTATCATGACCGTGCTGATAGACTGGCCAATGAGGCATGTAAGAAAGAAAATGTTGACCGTGACCTTGGCCTGTCCAATGCTGTAATTAAAAACATTCAAGTCAGAATCATGAACTCTGATCTAGAAGAAGTGAGAAATGCAGAGAGACCTGACAGTTGTAGCATTAGTAAATATGACAAATTTTGTGACAAGAGGTGCCGGTATGGCCAGCATAAGGACAGAACCAGACATTGTGATGTAGTCGTGGCCAGAATTAGGCTAGGATACAGACACATCTAGCAAGTTAGTAACGCTGTACCCATACCGGAACACTCAGCATGTAAGCTTTGTGATAAACCTTTAAAGCATACACTTGAACACTATATTATTGAATGTGACACTGTCAAAGACTTCAGGCCACCTGACTTATTGTATCTTGAACTTTGTAATTACTTCATTGAATGAGGTGTGCTTGAGGACATTCTTGCTGTTTATCCCAAATTTGCTAGCCCACACTGATTAGTCTTCAATTAGAATATGACTCCAGTGTATGTGATCCACTGACCTATATATACTGCTAATGAATATGATGTATTTCCTTCTTTGTGTACGAACCTCTGTCCTGTATGGTAATGAAGAGTGACATTACCCACATGAATCTGACCGACGTATATGTATGTATGTGTGTATATGTGCATGTATGTGTGCATATGTATATATATATGTACATGTATATGTGTATGTATATGTGTATATGTATGTATATGTGTATGTGTGTGTGTACATATATGTATATGTACTGTCAATGAATATGATGCATCTCTTTGTGTACGAACCTCTGTCCTGCATGGCAGTGAACAGTGACATTACCCATATGAATCTGACCTCTATACATTTATAGCTGTTAATGAATATGATGTATTTCGTTGTGTATGAACCTCTGTCCTGCGTGGCAGTGAGAAGTGATACCACCCTCAGTGTCAAGACCTGACTGAATTACTCAGAATAGGCAAACTGTACTACAAGCTCTGCCAATAAATTTGTTAAACTAAACTACAGTACCCTGGGCTGGAATTCTTAAAATTAATCGAGCCAAAGTTCACTGGAATGACATCGTGACCAAACTTTTTGATAATTTTATGAATAAAATGAGCACATTTAAGATAATTTATTCAACGTTTTAGCTGCCCTGTCTTTACCAAGCTTACGAGTAGGACGACCCACACTGAGGGGAAGGGTGGGGCGCGGTTTGCTACTATCGATGAAGGAACGACTCCTACTTGCTGGTTCTTCGTGGAAGGCGGAAAGAATTGTTTATACTATAGTCGAAAGTACGTTTTTTCTGAAAAGTATCTATCTACTGTGTATATCTATCCTACTTAATATAGGGTTTGTTTACCTTGATGGCGCCAAGCACAACGCAGAGGGAGAGGATACAGTAAACGCTGCAGTAGGAGATGAACACACCGGCCACCATCAACACTGTGGGAGCAACATGCCTTGTAAACACTGTACGCCTTATTGTTGCTAGTGAAGCGTTTCATAAATACAAAGATACAGAGTGGAGGATAGCAGGACAGTGTGTGGCAGTGTTACTGATACAGATGAACGTACAAACATTTAATTATAATAAATGAAAATAACGTACTCCATTCAACATCGTAGGAGCCGCTTTACAATTGGAGAGTTCAAAATAAATGAGTTAAAGAATTCTATAAACAAACAGCAAATTGTTAGCAACAAGAAACAAGTAAAAGAAATGTTGGTAGACTGAAATAAAGGACCAAAAATACAGAGGATGAATCTCCTACCTGATTTCGGATCAATTTTTCTCCAGTAAGTGGATGGAGCTTTGCACATATAAGCCTGACATAAGTGTTCAGTCTTTTAAGTATCACAAGTTTATATAAGTTTTCCTACCAGTTTCGAAGTCAAATCAAAGAAAATAACTAGTGTTTAGGGCAAACTTCACTATATCAATATCAATCTTGCTCTAGAGTCCGTGGTCAATAATTGGCCCGGGAATATATTAAAACAATTATTGTTTTATTATATTCTGTATATTTATGCTCATATCTTACCAAATAAAAATTATAGCATCATAGGGGAATACTCTGGAACGGGGGCGCGGATTAACCACCTATTTTAGATTTTTTTGGTTGTTGAAGATAACGTTTTTACCTTCAGTGTGCTGTATTACCAAAGATTTAAATGACACATTAGACCACTTTCACACAAGGAATATAGTACAAACATCAAAATATGTTTTAATTTACAATACTGGAGGGAGGAAGTGTTTCTTTTATCTTCGGGTGATACTGGTAGGCCCCAGGAGCCCCTGCCAGATGACCCACATAGTTGACATTGAAGGTGGTGACGCTGACGTATATAGGTGTTTAGGTCTGACCACTGACTGGTAAGAATGTGAGAAATCCTCCACATATATTTCTTTTCTCACCTCCTCTAAATCTTCGAATGTTTGCGTATGTGAGTGTGTGTGTGTGTGTGTGTGTGTGTGTGTGTGTGTGTGTGTGTGTGTGGCAGGGGTCAGGTCGGAAGTAGGAAGGCCACGGACAAGAGAAAGTCACACACCATTCATTTGTCACGAGGAGCGAGAGGATCGTGGATACATCAACACACGACCCCTCACTAACCAAAAATACTTTCCGACTCACTCTACTTGAAATAATGCTCATGTGGGGGGCTTAAATATACACAAAAATACACAGAAGAGGCTTTGTATACGCAGCTCCTCTTCCCCTTCCTCTTCCTCCTCCTCTTCCCCCTGATCCTTCACATACGCCGAGGGTTATTTATAAGGTCCGTGAGTATGTGGGGAATGTTATGGCGGAAACTACAAATGGGAGGGAGAATGGGAAGGTAGTCAGCAGGACATTCATCACTCGTGTGTGTGTGTGTGTGTGTGTGTATCGCGACATGAGACATAACGCAAGGGGGTGTAGGATTGCCTGTGTGTGTGTGCTTGAGTGTGTGTTTGTGTGTGTGTGTATGTGTGTGTGTGTGTCACAGTATCTGTCATCCAGTAAAAAATGTTCTAGTAATTTGGCACACTTGTTCTGTGGGTTGTCAAGCAAACCAATTTGTCTAATGTCTTCTTTACTTGTACTGCGCACATCATTGTCATTCCTAAAAACCCATTTAATTCATTTTACGCTATATAACATTCAAATCCACCGCGCTTGTAGAACTTCAGAAAACGAGAAACATTGATAAAGGATAACTCACCTACTCAATGTTACTAGACCATGTGTTGTATTGTACCCAGGTACAGTTATATCATATTAATTGTATGTATTCATAGCATTAAGGAGAACTCAGGGTATCCATAAGATGAGAGCAATGATCTGGAAAAAGGATAAATGTATCAGAACTATGTGAGGTGTTGGAAGTGACCCAGAAACTATACTTGAAAGGAAATATCTTGTATGCGTCGGTATGAACTTAATACACCTCGTATCCTCACGTGACATATAACCACGACAGGTACAGTGATCAGAGAATCTTATGTCTGTGTTCAAATAGTGCAATGTGTGAGAGGAGGATCCCTCATTACAGTCTTAAGTGAAGTTGATACACCCCCGCCATGATCATTCAGCCTTTGTTTTAAGGCACGTCATGTACCCGCCTCGGGTGTGCCGCGTTGATATTATAACCCAATGAATTTACCCACGAACTAGCAAACCAAGGCCTTACCTTAGTGTGTAATTTAGGATTAAAATATGTGTTTATACGGCATGAGTGACAATATACCGAAAAGTGTTCTGGTGAGAACCGTAAGAAATAAAAGTAAAAATTAAAGATTGGAAACTGTAGGCCTTCGCGGTGACGAGCGGCGGGGCACTGCCCTCAGTCCCTTTCGTTCTACCGTCACCTCAGGTCAGTGTCCTATCGGGCTATATCCCGCCCTATAATTAAGGCTTATATAGAAGTTATGACAGTTTAAAGCTTTGCCTGATGTATAAGTGTAATAGTAATGTGTTAGGGGGTGTGATAACCGCCCGTCAGGCAATATTTCTGAGTCCCTTTCGTTCTACCGTCACCTCAGGTTCCATGAGGTCGGAGTGCCTTGCTGCCCGGCAGCCATTATCCCTATGAGCGTCCAAACAGGTGGTGACTACTCCCAGCTATGTCAATCCACTGTGAACCAGTGGATTTCCAGCACCCCTCTCCAAATGAGTAGTAACAAATAAGGAGACCGTGAGAAACTCTGCGGTCGTCACTTGGAGCGACCTATAATACCAGGCGTAGAAATAGTACTGGTATGTCTCTGGGTGAAGCCCTCGTCTTTACCCACCGAGGGCGGTGTGCGAACGAGGTGCCTGTTGTGCATACCTGAAAGTTACAAGGAGTCCCATACCTGAAGGGGTGGAGTGTAACATGTGTGTTGAGATGGTGCTACTATGTATGATAACCGACGGTGCTATATTCCATACAGGTGGAGCAGTCTGATGTGTTAAGGGATAGTGTAAGAAGGAATGACCGAGGTAAGGTGGTCACAGATTGTTATGCAATAACTATGTGGATGACACGCCATTAATGTAAGACGTCTGGTGCCCATCTGGGTAACCAACATTTTCGTTGTTCTTCTGAGGAAGACCAATTCATTTGTATGTTTTTTACCAGTAAGCTTTATAAGGAATAAATTAATTAAGACATGTTATGGTTTCACCCTTCTTTCCCCTTATCGATCTGGTCAATGGAAAACCTAACCCAATGCCTAGTCCACTCTGCATGCTACCTAATGAGCTACATGCTGTCCAGAGGGGGTCTGGTGGCAGCGACCCTTAGAAATTAAGATTCGAGTTAAGTATTTACCCTTAGTATTAGTGACCCCCAGTCTGGCAGTATATACTGAACCCAGCAGCATAGTGATAACTCCAACTTATTCACAGCGAGACAAAATTTATTTGACTTTTACAGGCGTTATTTACTGTAGGTTAGGACGTAATGAGCTGTAATCATTCAAGTAGAACGAGACCGATATTTTGTTTGATTTTGCGCCTTTTTATAAAATAGTGAGTAAAAAAAATACACCAAGGCTCCTGGATATACATCTGTTTTTCTGTAGGATAATACGATAATCGCGTTTTATAAGTTAGCACAACCCATAAGTTTTAGAAACTTACAAATACAATATCCGGTGATCCGACATAAAAAAAAAGCTTGCAATGTTTCTGTCAGAGTGCAATTAATTATGTATGAAAAGTCAAAGGATTTCAACTAGAGTAGGAAGATGTTATTCCACTTGAGTGATCCACTTAAATGAGGTTAACGAGTCTCTGTTTTCTGTTATCGTTCCTCGGCTCTGACCTAGAAGTGAGGCGACCTGCTGCTGAACCCGCCAAAACAACTCATCAACTGCCGGAGATAAACGCCACCCAACTGTTAAAACACCTGTGTAGTGAGCCAGGGAGAAGGGCCGAGGAGGTTTCCTTGCAACTTTTTGTAGAGAATGCCTGTGGTTCCTAAAATCCAACCCTTAATTAGGGACACAGCTTATAAAAATAAAAATAAAATAAAATAAAACACCAGACGATTAAGGACATGGTGGAAAACCTGCATTTTCCACAAGAGTGATCTGGTGCAAATTACTGTGCTGTTAGTCCTTCATCTAACATTTCATTCATGCTTGGTGATATTAGTCACTGCTAAAAGTTGGCCTCGGCATGAAAGACCCCAGGGAAATTTCGCCAAATAATAGACCTCAAAACCTCGTCATAATAGTAAGACGACCAGTAGCTTTGGTCAGGAAAAATTTAAACAAACATCCACCCCCTCTTCCTCAGGATCCGAGCTGTATATGCCCATTATAACCGATAATTACTTTGCTGTCACTCGGAATCGAGTATGACGATCATCCAGCTATGATACAATGATATGAGTTCTTAGGGATGTCACCAAGGTTGGTGATTTTTAAGGTGACTAAAGAGGTCGGTCGATACGGGATCGACAGAGTCGTTCACAGATGTTGCACATGCGGGAGGGGCGGCGGCAGTCTCTTTCCGGCGTTGGCGCTTGTCTGCCTCGGTTTGCAGGGATAACTCGAAAGTATTGACACCTTCTCGTGTGGTGATCCTCCAAGCGTTACGGTGTGCAGCAATCGTCTCCCAGGTGCGGGGGTCGATTTGGCACTTTTTCAGGTTTGTCTTAAGACTATCCTTATACCTTTTCAGCTGCCCGCCAGCGTTATGTTTACTATTCGTTAGATGACTGTAAAGTAGCTGTTTTGGCCGATAATTACAACTCGCCTCGCTGCCTCCTTCCGTCCCCGGGTGCAGCAAGATGTGTCATGTAAACTCCCCGTAAGAGAGATAAACAATAAAGATAATTAGTTACCATCTCCCTCCAGCACAGTGTTGACACACACAAGAACTGTTCCTAACTTCAGTCATCTCACATGTCTATTTTCTTTTGTCTGACGTCTTGGATTCTTAATGTGATCTCACATATCTTACATCACTCTTCCATGTCCTTTCCGTGTCTCTCTTCTACTCATTCTCTACATGTTAAAATCCATACATGGATCTACATATATGCCCTATCACAAGCTCTCGGTTCTAAATCCTTCAATAATATTAATATTATTATGTATTATTCAGTACTTCACTACAAAAACATTTTCATGAATATATATGTATGTATAGCAGTATAGGCTACAGTGTGTCTAATTTGCTCATATCTCAACGCTTGAGCAATGCAGGTTTCTTCATTAATCTTACAATGTCAGTGATCAAAATAAATAATATAACAATTAACGTCAAGTGACCATCAAAAAATAATACGTTTCGGTAGTGTGGCTTGTCAACACAAAGTTCCCGATCTTTAATTTTTAATTTTAAGTGAGAACAGACCTCCCAGTCATCCACAAACATCAACATGTGTTGGGTCTATAAATGTACCACGCCTTTAGTTTGACATAAGTGCTTGTCATGTCTGTTTTTATCCGAGTAATGACATTAACACGTGATTACTGGAAATCTTTTCCACCTGCTGATAACTCGAGTACAAAAGTAACTTTAATTGTTTTATCTGCGTCTCTTTGCTCTTAAATTATGATATCCATTCTGTTCAAGCGAGTTAACACATTATTTACGCCCTTCTAACATTGGAACGCAATTTTACAAGTCTGTTCGTTCAGCGTTAGCTCACCCAGCTGGTAAAAATAGTCTACAGCAGGAATGGTGTGTTTACACTACGAAGGGGAAGTACACGAAGCGCAGAGGGATGCGCGCAAGATTAGTTAAATCCATTATCCAAGGTTAATGCTATTTCAATCACTCAGTGAATCATTCTTCTTATTCAGATATGTCTGCTGGTAGTTTAAGACACAAGATATTCATTTGTTTATCACTTGCGTATCTCTACACTAATGCTGATGCATTAGCCAAGGGACGAGGGTCTTAAAATACACATTGCCTACAGACCTCCGTTGTGTCTATTCAATTTCGCTGTCTTGGTCGTCCTCCAATATAATTATGACTACAAGGTTGCATTACCTCAGTCTGTAGTTATGTTTTGTGTCACTTCTTAAGAGACTGTGGGTTACACCTCTATATAACACACACATAAAAGACAGGCTCCTGTACAATAGTTTAACCACAAAAAGATGTATTTCTTCTATACTTAATGCAACACATCAGGGAGTGAGATCCACTTACATTTCTCCTTGTCGTTTATCCCCAACACCTCCGTCTCCGGCCCAGGCAGCCACGGGCAGCTGAAGTTGACATCGGTACCACTGTTGCTGCTGTTGTTACCAATGTCCTCAGTGACAGGCATGATGCTGGCACTGTCCTCAGGCACGCTGACATTATTGACATTATACTCAGGAACGCTGACCTTACTGGCACTATACTCAGGCACGTTGACTTTACTGGCACTATACTCAGGCACGCTGACATTACTGGCACTATACTCAGGCACGCTGACATTACTGGCACTATGCTCAGACACGCTGACAATACTGACACTATACTCAGGCACATTGACATTACTGGCACTATACTCAGGCACGCTGACATTACTGGCACTATACTCAGGCACGCTGACATTACTGGCACTATACTCAGGCACGCTGACATTACTGGCACTATACTCAGGCACGCTGACATTACTGACACTATACTCAGGCACGCTGACATTACTGGCACTATACTCAGGCACGCTGACATTACTGACACTATCCACGAGTACGCTGGCATTCTCGACAACACTACCGGCCTCGAGGGCGAGAGTGTCATTCGACTGGTAGAGGTTAGTGGTGACGGGGCACTCCACCAGCATCATCACCCCAGCCGCCACCATCAACGCCTGCCATATCTGGAAGATGGGGGAGGCCATGAAGGAGAGAGAGAGAGATGGTCTCCCTCACTTACAAAACATATACAATGAAACGATGAAAGATGAGAGAGATTGACAGAGATACAACATATAATCTCCCTCACTGACAAATCAATACCGTGAAACAGTGTTGATTTATATTTGTAAAGTCATACCATAAAACAGAAACTAAAGAGACAGGACTTATTTATCAGTTGGGAGGTGTTGCTACGCCATAAACAGGTCCAGTTACAACACTTTACACTCGCACAGTAACTTACCATTAACATACATGCATTATTCAGCCGGGTTTAGGACATGGATCTGGTCAAGTACCAGCTACCACAATACCATAATATCAGGATTATTAAGAGTGTCCAGAGGCGGTAGTAGATTAAGATGATACCAAAGATAGACGTAGCAATACCACAGGTTACCAATGAAGTGCTGGAGATGATGAATAAGTTACTGGTATAAATGTGGTGAATACGAGATGTGAGATTTGTTAGGTACCACACAGAGTTGGACTTAGTGGTTATGTTCTCACGCAACAGAGCACCAAGAGGTTGTTGATGTTACTGGTACTAAAGAGGGTCAGGCACCACAAACGGGGTCTTTTACATGTGAAAAGTGGGTCCCGTAGGCATGACTGCCCGTTAGCGACAGTGTGGACACAGCGCACTGTATACTAAGCCTTAGGTACACAAGGAGGCAGCATGGCCGGTACTGCACTAGACCCCCTTAATTTCCCTGAATTGTACACTTGGGTACCCATTTACAGCTGGGTGAATTGGGTACACCTGGAAATCGAACCACCGAACCTGGAACAGGAGGCGAGCGCTGTATCCACTCAACCACCGCACTCCTACACTTAAGGAAATAATATGATACCAGACACACCGAGTAACAAATACAATACCAGGAAGGGAATACAATTGGTACTGGTTAGTATACCGAGAGACGCCATATATGTACCACACACACACAGGAACACCTACCAGCGAAACAGTGCCAATGGTACATGCGCCCGTCTTGAGGGACCACCGCACACAGCAGTTGTCCGTAGACCAGTAGTCGAGGTTGGCTCTTGTGTCCATGTACATTGTTGGTTGATGGGCACAGCAAGAAGTTCACACCCTCCACATTTAAACCAACACCTTCTTCTCCTTGTCTTCCTCTTCCTCCTTCAGACACTTCTCTGAATCTCTTAAAGGAGTCCACAGGAAGCAGGAACCTCTCTTAGATGTTCATTACGATCTTTAACTTATAGCTCTAAAAATCAGTTCGCAGTGCCGCGATTCAATTGCTGTGTCGAGCGCAAGATGGCTGACTTATCTATGGGTTCCATCCATCGCCTCAAGTAATGATAAACAGGTTTTTGAGTGTCATTGTTTCACTGGTATACTATTTCACTGCATCAGTTTCAATGTTTCACTGTATCACCTCCGACACACTAATGAAGAGGTCCTACACTTCCCTTTCTTCTCTCAGATATTTGATGGTACAATATCTCGCCTTTATCTTATAAACAACAACGCATCACGAAACGTTAGTTCACATACATGACAGATATGTTTACAGCTTATCTTCGTAGTAAATGTTGATGGTGGTGTGGGTATACAGTGTGTCCGTCCCCCTCACCTGCTCGTCTGTGCTATCAGGTAACTCTCCATTAGCTCAAGAATTATTGTAAGTTATCCCTGTCTCTGTAAATGTATAGATAAAAGTAGGACAATTATATAAGTTTTATATATAATTGTGTAAAAAAGTTCTTCATATTATTTAATGCAGAAAAATAAATATATACATCAAATAAAATGCACATGTCAATGAATACATAACATTATAAAGGATACGATAAAACTGAAAGTCTCTTACGACAAAAAGTGAAGAGTGGAAGTTGCATAAGAGTGTTGACGTAGGAGGATCTCTCAGCCAAGAGATGCAAACACGAGGCTCTGGCCAAGACACAAACGTTAAAACACTGTAAACAAATATCGGAGGTGAATTTTCCCAATGTGTGTTTGCACCTTTAAACAAGATACCAGTGACCTCATCTTACTGTAAACAAAGTGGAGCCTCCTCCCGTGTCATGGGTCTTACTGTTTCTTATGTGAATTTTATTTTAGATTAAGTGGAGACATGAGATCATTTTTAACTCGCTACAAAGAAGGTCAAAGTGACATTGAATTTACCCCAGCTTGATGTTCTCCTTTATCCTCGGTGAGCGATGAAGCATTTAAAGCAAGTGTCTTTGGAAGTCCGGACTCTGAAGCTGACGATGTAAACAAACATGGCAGAGCAAGATTTACAGCTTCCTCGTGACTTAGTCCTTAGTGGATGCTCCTGCCACCTCGCCTGTGAGCACGTTTCGGCCTTAAATGTTCAATCAAACGTTTTTATCTCGAACGTTTAACTTTGACTGTTGTGTTTTTGAAAGTTTATTTCTCATACGTTTTTGGCCTCAAACGTTGCCTAAAATTACCTTCCTGTATAATTTAATCTTACCGAACCTTTTTAACCCAAAACGTTCATGGAGGAAAAATTCCACCATCTTTGCTCACCGAGACTCCCTCCGCCGCTGCACGATAAAAATCTGTTGCATAAACGCAACATGAAGCGTATGCTAGCAAGAGATACCCTGGTTCTTGGCCAACACGGTGCCTTCCTTTTCATTTACCAGGTGAATGATTGCTACTTTGTCGGGAGTGACGTTCAGTGGAGCCTCTGTGAAGCTGTTAATCTGAAATCGTGACCACCATAGATGGGAGGGCGTCCTGGGCAATGATTTATAAGTGGAGAACAAGTGTTGAGGAAGGAACAGCTTCGAGTGGCTGTTGGTTACTACAGGAGGTGCAGTTGTTTTGAGTTGAGTCAGAGTGAAGTTTGTTGCATGTACAGAGTATTGTATTTGTGTGTTATTATTATTAGTAGTATGTACAGTATGTATGTACAGTATGTATGTATGTATGTATGTATGTATGTATGTATGTATGTATGTATGTATGTATGTATGTTATTACTATCATCGTCTTATAGGGGATAATTTTGTAATTTTTTTTAAGGGGATTAGTCCAATCAGGCATAGGTCACTGACCCACATCAGGGCCTGGGGGCCGAAAATATAATAATAATAATAATAATAATAATAATAATAATAACTATTATTATTATTATTATTATTATTATTATTATTATTATTATTATTATTATTATTATTAATGTTATTATTATAATAATTTATAAAATTAATAACAAAATAATAAAAAAATAAAATAAAATGATATTAATAATATTAATACTTAAATACTAAAACGAAAAATAAATCAAGAGTGAGAAACGATATACACTATGTATGTTGTGTTGTCAAAGTAAGAGAAACAATTGAGACCCTGCAATTGTGTGTAAATGAGGCGGAAAGTCAGATCAGCAACCTGGGACTTAGTCACAATTTTTGTGATGCCATATGGCAGCAGGGTCTACCATTAGACACATTATGGGCCCTGGGGTTGATAAAAATGTGTGTAGTGTGACGCAGAGCCTCCACATTAGCAAGACACACCTGCCTGTGTGACCTTAGTTTATATTATTGTTTCACTCATTGGTTTAAGAACACCTGTTTCCTGTCACTTGGGTCGTGTTCAGCTTACCTTCCCTGTCACTCATGAGTTCATTACAGAGGAATATCAACAGGTAATGACAAAAGCACACAAAATAATATTATTTTCTTTGAAGTATAGCACATTAAAGGTACAACACTACGATACAGTACATTACAGGTACAGCACTAAGATACAGTACATTACAGGTACAACACTAAGATACAGTACATTACAGGTACAGCACTAAGTACAGTACATTACAGGTACAACACTAAGATACAGTACATTACAGGTACAGCACTAAGATACAGTACATTACAGGTACAACACTAAGATACAGTACATTACAGGTACAGCACTAAGATACAGTACATTACAGGTACAACACTAAGATACAGTACATTACAGGTACAGCACTAAGTACAGTACATTACAGGTACAACACTAAGATACAGTACATTACAGGTACAACACTAAGATACAGTACATTACAGGTACAGCACTAAGATACAGTACATTACAGGTACAGCACTAAGGTACAGTACATTACAGGTACAACACTAAGATACAGTACATTACAGGTACAACACTAAGATACAGTACATTACAGGTACAGCACTAAGATACAGTACATTACAGGTACAGCACTAAGATACAGTACATTACAGGTACAGCACTAAGATAAGCACATTACAGGTACAGCACAGATACAGGTACAGCACTAAGATACAGTACATTACAGGTACAGCACTAAGATATAGCATATTACAGGTAAGCACTAAGGTACAGCACATTAAAGGTACAACACTAAGATACAGTTACAGGTACAACACTAAGATACAGTACATTACAGGTACAGCACTAAGATACAGTACATTACAGGTACAGCACTAAGATACAGTACATTACAGGTACAGCACTAAGGTACAGTACATTACAGGTACAGCACTAAGGTACAGTACATTACAGGTACAGCACTAAGATACAGTACATTACAGGTACAGCACTAAGGTACAGTACATTACAGGTACAGCACTAAGATACAGTACATTACAGGTACAGCACTAACAGGTAAACACACACACACATTGAAAAGTAGAATTAAATAAGAACTTAACCCGATTTTAATTATTCTTTACCATTTCCATCACCATAAATTTTGTCTTGGTGGTTGCTAATCCCGTTTCACTCGCCCAGAAAAACCTCGGCGGGTATCCTTGAAAACCAAGGCTGGTGGGGGGAAGACAGTGCTATTGTTGTACTTTGGGTGTAGAGTGATCTTAGTTTTAGTGGTTTTACTGTTTGTTTTGTATTGGTTATATTGATGATATTATGATCATGATAATGGTGATGATAATAATAATAATAATAATAATAATATTAATACGAATATGAATATGAATAATAACCAGCTGATGTGTTATTTTACGGTACTCAAGTGTAAATAAAGGTCGGTGTCTTTCTTCAACATAATTGGCCAAGTCTTGGATTAAACTCTTGATAGCCTTTTTTGTATTCATTAAGAAATATATCCTTTTATCTATTATATCCAGTTACTTATGACTGTATTTTTACCTCTCAGATAGACTATAGTAATACAGTTACTACCAGACACTAAAACTGAAACAAAAAACTGAGCCTGAAGGCGTTTGTTATTGTAGCCAAATATTCTGGTGTCTTCCTCTTTTCTCCCAGCCAAGAAAACTTTTACAACGAGAGATAAAAAGAATGAAAGGGATAAAGACTATTGGCTTTGAGACACATGTGGTTGGCAGAGGAGCTATCTGCTGAAGACGTGTACACGGTATATTTACACACACTGGGAAACAAAAGAGCCACAGCGAGGTATTCTGGTGGTGGAGGCAACAACTGTGGCGTGAGGCATCTGACTCCCAGGAGCTGAGCCAGTTTATAGAAGCACTGTTGTTGATCATGTCTCAGGTTAAAGCACTGTTGTTCGTCTCAGGTTAAAGCACTGTTGTTCGTGTCTCAGGTTAAAGCACTGTTGTTCGTGTCTCAGGTTAAAGCACTGCTGTTCGTGTCTCAGGTTAAAGCACTGTTGTTCGTGTCTCAGGTTAAAACACTGCTGTTGGTGTCTCAAGTTAAAGCACCGTTGTTGGTGTCTCAGGTTAAAGCACTGCTGTTCGTGTCTCAGGTTAAAGCACTGCTGTTCGTGTCTCAGGTTAAAGCACTGTTGTTCGTGTCTCAGGTTAAAACACCGCTGTTCGTGTCTCAGGTTAAAGCACCGTTGTTCGTGTCTCAGGTTAAAGCACTGCTGTTCGTGTCTCAGGTTAAAGCACTGCTGTTCATTCCTCAGGTTAAAGCACTGTTGTTCGTGTCTCAGGTTAAAGCACTGTTGTTCGTGTCTCAGGTTAAAGCACTGCTGTTCGTGTCTCAGGTTAAAGCACTGTTGTTCGTGTCTCAGGTTAAAACACTGCTGTTGGTGTCTCAGGTTAAAGCACCGTTGTTCGTGTCTCAGGTTAAAGCACAGGTTGCTGTTCGTGTCTCAGGTTAAAGCACTGTCTCAGGTTTCGTGTCTCAGGTTAAAGCACCGTTGTTCGTGTCTCAGGTTAAAGCACTGCTGTTCGTGTCTCAGGTTAAAGCACCGTTGTTCGTGTCTCAGGTTAAAGCACCGTTGTTCGTGTCTCAGGTTAAAGCACCGTTGTTCGTGTCTCAGGTTAAAGCACTGCTGTTCATTCCTCAGGTTAAAGCACCTCCATTTTTTTATTATCGCCCCATTGAAATCGTTGTAGACCCATCGTTCACACTTTAATAAATCAGCGCTTATATTTACCTCACTGAAGAAGTATCACTTACAAATCTACGAGAATAGTGTGATTGAGAGAAACATTTGATACGATTTAAAGCCATGTTCAGAATATACATAAAACCTGTATACAAGAATATAGATATACTTACATAAAAATATGTTTTGAAGAAGGATCAAAGCCACTTCTTAGGTTGACATTTGATCATATCTTAGGTTCAAACACCCCCCTTTACGATGCTGTTACCACGTGGGAGTTACTTCACTTATACTTTAAAACTAAAAATGAACTTCTGTTTATATTTCTGAACAAAGTTTCTGATCCTGGGTGTGATTCTCCCCCACACGTCACCTTCACCACACCGCCTCCTTGTCTTCTTATTGCATCTGTCTTGAGAGGAGTAATAAAACACATCAGGCAGAGAATCATGTCATGGAGAGAATAATATAACGTGCAATGTGCTAAATTTAGTGATGGTGTGACACAAAGATTCACTGTATCATGGTTGTTAATGCAGGGACACGAGGCTGGGTGGTGGGTGGGTGTGTACGTATGTATGTGTGTGTGTGTATGTGTGTGTGTGTGTGTGTGTGTGTGTGTGTCAATAGTGTATGTAAACACACAGGAAGGTCTGTCTTACCGTGTTGGCCTGACATGTTCCTCACAGTGTGCAGCTCCTAATGTTATGTTATCTTGTGTCCACCTCACCACAGAACTTACCAGAGCAGCAGTCTGCCTCACTTGACATAAACAATTGATAAAAATTACGATAAAAAAGTATGTTTAACACAGTAGCCATTGTCATGACTCCCAGTAATACATGTTGCTGATATTCGTTTAAAGTTTCTCTCACAGATGTCTCTTGTTCCCGACACGGCAGCGAATATCATTATTATATTCATGGACCCAATATAATAAAATGTTGGCCTGCGGTGGACGTCACATTACTCAAGCAGTACCACGCTAATACATCATTTCCTTTGACGCCGAAGGGCATAAAACTGTCCCGAGACAGCTGCAAGCAGTAAGTCATGTAATGTGTCCGTCTGGGTGTGTGTCCGCATGCCTGAGCACGGACAGTGGGGCCCCACACTACCAACTCAACACCACTTGTTGACACACCCACCAAAAACACCGCTGCTCACGCCCCCACTCTCTCTCTCCTTCCCTCTCTCTCAGTCTCTTCAGGTGAGGGCATCGCCTGTGGTCATCTTCGGGAGGAAGAAGTGAAGGCGTGGTGACGCGGCCACACAGCACTGAGGTAGATGGCAGACTGGCCAAGTTGGTAGTGGTGGTGGTGAAGGAGGGTGTGTTAGATAGGTGGGGCCGTACCCTTAGTGTTCCCCCCATCACAGAGCTTGCCAACAACTACTGTGCCAAGCTTTCCTGCCCGTCGTCAGCTGTGGTGGTGGCGGTGGTGGTCGTAGTGGTGATGGAGTCCGTTACTATCAGGGGGCGGGGAGGAAGAGTGAGGGAGAGAAACATTGACTATGGGGAGTAAGGGGAGAGAGAGAGAGAAGTACAGCAGTAGGGAGGGAGAGTGAGGGAGAGAAACATTGACTATGGGGAGTAAGGGGAGAGAGAGAGAGAAGCACAGCAGGAGGAGAGGAGGGAGAGAAACATTGACTATGGGGGTAAGGGAGAGAGAGAGAAGCACAGCAGTAGGGAGGGAGAGTGAGGGAGAGAAACATTGACTATGGGGAGTAAGGGAGAGAGAGAGAGAAGTACAGCAGTAGGGAGGAAGAGTGAGGGAGAGAAACATTGACTATGGGGGAGTAAGGGGAGAGAGAGAGAGAAGCACAGCAGGAGGAAGAGTGAGGGAGAGAAACATTGACTATGGGGAGTAAGGGGAGAGAGAGAGAGAAGTACAGCAGTAGGGAGGAAGAGTGAGGGAGAGAAACATTGACTATGGGGAGTAAGGGGAGAGAGAGAGAGAAGTACAGCAGTAGGGAGGGAGAGTGAGGGAGAGAAACAGTAGCAGGGAGAAAGATACATTGAGCCCTCAGTATTTGTTTTCGTGGTGGACAAAATTATTATTTTGCTCTATCTGTCCACCATTTGCTCCTCTTCGGTTTTTTTTTAAATTTTATTTCCTGTTTCCTCTTGTTATTATATTTTGTCTTTAATGTTACTTAATATCTTCTACACACTCACACTCACACACACACACACACACATCTGATGCATCATGCAGACACACAAATATACACAGCCGATACATGCACAAGATACATACATATACGCATTAGACACACGTACACACAACCACTGACTAATGATCAATCAGTCTTCCTCATATATTATCATAACATTACGTATACTGTCACAATATTTATTATATACAACTAAATGTCACTCATATATCTCTGACAGCGTCTTTTGATAAATTTAAATATATGTTTTATATATTATAGGAATTTTAATATTCGAAATTTTCTGCCACAGCTCAGTAAACATAAAGTATTCAATCGCTCGAAAATAAAAATGAGTGGATCTGGACCGCCATCTCTTGACAGCGGGTAAAGTTATTCATTCAGTGGATCACCACATGGCGGCGGTGTTATCTCTCTTCCAAGATTTTCACAAAGCATCGTGTAACAATAGACTCTCTTGGTATCCTCCATATACTAACTTGAGAAGATTCTGCTCTAGCGTTGCTGAAATTATTGATGTGTCTATCAAGATTGAAAAGAAAATTGGAGTGACTTTGGTTCAGAGATTGAATAAAAAGAGAAAAAGAGACGATCGTGGTGTAGCGGAGCCATCAGATGGCTGCCGCCTCCAGCACCAACCCATGATAATGCGCCTTCCCTGCTGCGTGCCAGATACTCACTTTACTTCATCCTCTTTCACAGTACATCGTTCGAAATAAACAAATCTCGTTACCATACAAACAATCTATCTTAACGTCAAAGAATATTTCAGCTGTAATATGTTTTATTATATATCAGATATTTAATTTAGAGTAATTATTTGATCCTAAGTTTGTAAAATATTTGTTAATACTAAGGATGCACCTATGCAGTGAATGATGGTGCTGCAGTGTAAGCGATTATTAGTGGCGTGCGGGGGAGGGCAGTGGCTGGGCTGTCTGCCCTGCTGGACTTCTTCAGTAGAGGCGACAGTGAGGATGACGGCACTCGCCACCGCTCCGCCGCTCCTTGCCTCACACACATACTCTCATATTTATCGTTTTTCTCAAATTCTTCTGTTTGTTTACCCAGACAAATCCACAATTTCCCCTTTATTAAGAGCTCTTTAATTTTCCTGCTCAACTGTCCACATAAACACTAATTCTACCTACTTAACCAGACCTCTTAATTCAGCTGTCAATTCGGCTACATGTCGCGTTTTGCCTTTGCTCACGCCTTGATAACGAATGTCATTGAACAACTCTAGTGATTGATACCTAGAAAGAAAATTAAAATGATTTAGTGAAAGTAATAACAAAATAGATTCTTAGGAACTTTACTTACATGTTGTTATTGTCGCTATCTATCTATCTATTTGTCTATCTATCTATCTGTGTTTGTGTGTGTTTTGAGATGATACATGGGTGAATTAATTGAAGTATGGATGATGGAAGTACTGTAGATTGAGTGGGTGGAGACAGTGGTGTAGGTGAGTGGAGGGTGGGTAGAGTAGTGGGTGGGTGGAGGTAGAGTGGTAAGTTGGTGGAGGTCGAGTGGTAGGTGGGTGAGGTGGAGGTAGGTGGATCGGGTGGAGATAGGTAGGTTGGGTGAATTCAGAAAGGTAGGTGGGTGGAGATCTAATGGTGGATGGGTGGGTGGTGGATGTAGAGTGGTAGGTGGGTGGGTGGAGGTAGAGCAGTGGGTGGGTGGGAGGAGGTAGAGTAGTGGGTGGGTGGAGGTAGTGAGTCACCTTGGCTGCCCTAGCACCTGCCACACACACACACGCCCTCCGTCCTCTTCATCGACAATATCACCACGCACGAACAAGCTTTTGCACTAGCATACGCGTTCGATCACGCACACACTCTTATAAAAAAACTAACAATTGCTAACACACACACACACACGCACACACACACACACGCACACACATACGCACACACACACACACATATATACTCATGTATACGTTCTAAAATTCTCAGCATATTGGTAGTACAGCAAGACACGTGGAAGAACTTGGTTCATAGACGCTCACACGGAACGGACATTAAGATACGTTAACCAGAGTCGTTATATACAGGGTATATATATATATATATATATATATATATATATATATATATATATATATATATATATATATATATATATATATATATATATATATATATATATATATATATATATATATATATATATATAATTCCCTTTAATTTATCTGTATTAACTATACATAATATACGGAACGCATCATATTAGTTACACAAGGCATCACAATCAGAGGTACCAACCTTACCAAATGAACCTGACCTCAGCCAGTGATCGTTGCGACGGTTGTCAGGCCCAAGGGTGCAGAAAAAGTTTTGTTGACTGTACTTGCATTTACATACCGATATCATCATAGCGCTTGGACTCTAAACACGAACATGCATACATAGCTTGAACGCACACAAGTACAAGCACGTACACGTAAATAAATACACACTTAGACAAACATATATACACATATACATAAATGAAAACACAAACACACGTATACGTAAGCAGGCACTTAACATAGATGTCCGCACACACACACACACACACACACAGACGCACACACACACACACACGCACACACACACACACACACATATGAAGGCTTCGTATAACGTATTTGGATTACCACATAGAGGAAATGGAGAAGAAACTACAATATCAACAAATAAGTAAACAAGGCCTGGTTACCTGCTCCCGCACACAACATATACAAAGGAGCGTCTATATTCTCAGAGGCTGGCAATAAATATGCTTCTTAACATCGAAAACATCGTAAATAATATCAGTTACAGAGGTTCTACCATAACTAGATACCTTTACTTAACATCAGTTTAGGGACAAAATTCCATTAAGACTCAACCATAATTAATTAGATACATTCTTTTAACACCAGACAAAATTAATGTATGCAATATTTAGAAAGATTATGTCTCCTAATTGGTGTTCATAGGACATAGTTTGTTAAGGTGGAATTTTAGTGTAATATTGATGCTATTTTTGGGGGGGGGGTATTCTAACTTAGAGACATAAGTTAGGTATAAATTCCTATGTCCTCAGTTACGAGAGATAGCCTAATCATGGTACGAACCTTTGTGAATCTGTAGCCTACTCAGCAGACTCTGGTATATGTTAAAGCACCTTTACACACGCAATCATACTGGTTAAGAAATACTTATGTTATAAATATTAACAGACAAGACTGAAACTTAACCACACAAGATACAAAAAACTATTTGAAAACACCAATATTTTCTGTATTAAATAACAAATATGTGTTTTCGAACATTTGTTTTTATAGCGAACCGCAAACTATTTTATACGATCAGACTAAATTTTTGTAAGCTAAAACTGAAGCTCGTAAAACCAAATTCTGTTCCATAAAAACTCCGCTTGATTTAAGGCTCTAAAGCATAATTCTGAGAGGCAAGCATAATTATAATCCAAACATTATGTAGGAACTAGTAATTTGGTGTGGAGGAATCTAGCCAACCTGTTCAACGTGGAACTTTACTTCTTCACTTATGTTTATACGTTTTTTTTAGTGTATATGAATTATGGCACAAGTTGTCATCCATATTTTTTAGCTTTTTCTTATAAACAAGTATAAAAATACTTTTGAATATTGAAATAGATTGTAAGAATAAAATTTTTTGGGCTTGTAGTTTTGTATTTGCTTTTTTATCACTATTTACAATTGTTAAAGTTGTGTCAGTCGTAGCTCGGTGTGTAGTGACAATTAGCTCAATTTCCATTTACTCAACAAGTTTAGTTTATTGCAATGGTGCTTAGAAAATGTTACCTTTTTTGTTATCCAAGCAAGAAAAAACTAGGCTGTGTAAAAACATAATATGAAAACTACAAATATCGTAAGATTTCATCCCTCATACTTGCTCACATTTCAGAATATCGAACACGTCTTATATACATCTAGAATTAAATCACCAGTTCCCTTGTAAAATGTAAACAAATCAAGGAGGGAAAACTGTTAACCCACTGGGCGGCAACATGGTCTGGGTGCCGCTCAGGGCTCACCAGCAAGTTCTCTCTCAGTATGAGTTGGTCCTCTGAGCCGAGCGTGTACGTACCAGTTGTCTTTAGTGGACGCAGGCCA